CCGATGTCCTCTCTGAGGTGGGGGGCCACCTCCAACCAGTTGACAGCTGGCAAAGGGGCGCTCCTCCCGCCTGGCCCCTCTAGGACAGCTCCAGAGAGCAATGGGGAGGGGAGCGGCTGGAGCGCACGGAGGAAAGAATTCGGGACAGCAAGTGCAGGCAAGACCCTCTCCGAAGGGAGAGCCTGGAGCGTCAGGAAAGGGCACCTTTCTGCTGGGGGGATTAACAGGCGGTGTTCGAGCTGGCGGAAAGGGAAAGGGCAGTGGAGCCTCAGGAACCCCTAAGCGTGGGGCTGAGCCACCTGGTGGGCTGGAGGGTGGGGTGCAGCCCGGAGAAGGGGGCATGGGACAGGGCTGTGGAGGGGCTGGGAGGCCGAGCTCTGTCCCCGGAGCCCCACCTCTTGGAGAGCCTGAAATCAGCAGGATCCATCGACCCATTCCACCGAAAGCCAGAGAGGGAGCACAGGAGCTTCGGGAGGAGAGAGTGGCCGGTGGGCTGCATGCGGCTGCCCTCACTCGCAGTCCCAGCCTGTTCCCCAAGCGCTCCCCTCAGTCCTGATTCCTCCACCGCTGAGTCTCACTTCTCTGGCAGCTTTAAATATACCCTGAAATGTGCCCATCGCATGACACTCACTTAAGTCTGGCTGTCATGTAAACGCCCCCGACGCTCCCCACTCAAACTTCCCCGTGAAGCTGAACCAAGACCCTGGCTCCACGGGGTCTACTCAGCCCCGAGGAAAACGTGCTCGCGGTCGTGTCAATTTTCCAAATGCTACTCTCCATAGCTCTCGCGTGCGCTGCTGCTGACGGAGGGCACCCTGGGAGACGTCTTCGTGAGGGTCACCGAGGGACCCCCAGCCGAGGCAGGGCCCAAACGCTCTTCCACCACCGCGCCTGCTTTCCCTCTTAAAGACAGCGGCTTCAAGCAGATCCAGCCAGGAAGGGGAGCACTTCTGTTTAGCTTTCCTCACTGCTGCATCCGATGGTGCTTTAAACACAAAGCAGGCAGATGTACGATTCAGTGGCTGGCACTTTCTAGACAGTGAAAGAAAGCCGGGCGTGGTGGCACACACCTGTAATCCCAGGACTCAGGAGGCTGAGGCAGGGGGATCACTACAAGTTTGAGACCAGCATGGGCTACACAGTGAGTTCAAAGCCAGTCTGAACTCATAGTGAGACCCTGTCTCTAAAAACAAACACAAATCAAACAAACAAAAAAACACCTAAGTAGACAGTAAGAGAGACAAGCTACAGGCCACAGCCCGTCTGAAAATAACAGGCTGCTGGTAACTGTCTCCCCCAAACCTGATGCTACTAATGAGTAAATGTTTAAATAAAAAATTTATCGTAGTAAAAGACACAGTGCCTTAGCCACCCCTCAAAATACTCGGAACCCTCCGCTCATTCTAAACACATTTATCCCCTCATTCTTGGCAATGTGTCTCTTACTACAACAAGGTTCACTCATGGTATTTTTCCATTGCATGTTGGTGACTGATAGGAATAGCCAGAACGGCTGATCTTTCCACACTCCAGGGAAACACCTTCTCCTTGTTTTCTGTAGCTCTCCAGGGCTGTGGAAGGAACCGGAGCCTGGCGCAAGCTGGCAGGTGCTCTTCCTCAGCTGGCTTTGCGAACAGCCCTCTTGAATCCCCTGCTTGTCCCCAAAGGAGGTGCTGGTGTCTGATTCTTGGAAAGGTTTTGGGACATTGCTGGCATGATGAAGAGCTAGCTCAGCTCACTCGTGGGTGAACCAGACGTTCTGGGAGGTAAGCAGGTCTGGCGGTCCTGGCGAGTAGGTCAGTAATAAGCACACCAAGACCCGCTTGCTTCTCGCTGCAGGGAGCTCTCCTCAGTATGTGACCACGTTTGGGACCATTGGTCACAGCCCCACTCCAGGTTCATGGGTGTCACATTCACAGATCCAGCCAACCACAGGAGGATGCTAAAGACAAGATGGCACGTACTGAAAGCGGTGTGCAGCTTACTGGTCACTATTCCTGAACGATACAATGTCACCACTGCTCACAAGGAACTGCCCAGTGGTGAACCTTTTAGGGACCAAGTGCCCAAACTTCAACCGAAACCCACTTATCTCAGAGCGCCCACACTGCAATTAGGGGTTCCAGTTTAGAAGAAACAACTCATGCATGCATCAACATCTTGTCTTCAAAGAAAAGCACAATAATACACGTACCACAGGTTCACCACCACCGGTGTAGGGATTACCAGTGAGAGGTGCTGTGGACCATTACATGAAAACACCTAACTGACATGAGGGGTTCGAGCATCCTGAGTTTGGAATCGAGGGTCCTGGAACCCTCCCCGTGTATTCCAGGCGTGGACTATTTGTCTACAGCCGCCACCTGTGAGTAAAATATGGTTCACTTCTTCAAGGACATTGTTTGTATTCAGGTTCACACACCCTTTTTCCTCCCAGAACTGAGGATGGAACCCAGGTATACGAAGCACTTAACCACTGAGCTAGGCCCCAGCTGGTTTTACTTTGAGACACGCTCTCACTAATTTGCCCAAACTGGCCTGATTCACAATCTTCCTGCCTCTGCCTCCCAAGTGCTGCTTTCACAGGCAAGCGCCACCAGGCCCTGCTCAAATTCCGTGTCTTCAGAGTGCCAGTGATATTCAAGAGGGTACATGAGCTGCGTGTGGTTGTCATGCTTATAATCCTAGCTGCTCAAGAGGCTGAGGCAGGAGGTTCGTGAGTTTGAGGAGGGCTTGGGCTTGGGCATAGCATGTTCAAGAACAGGCATGGACTACACGGCAAGACATTGTATCACAAAAACGTTTTGATAATTTTAGCTGAATCTCAGCTTAAGAAAAGAAGCCAATTTGTTAGCAATACAGTTCAGGTGAAGGAGTCCTTAGAGTTCCTTTAAATAGTGAATCCCTTTAAAACAGCAAACTTCATGCTCTTCTGCGATCATTTCTACTAAAAAGAAAAAGCCAGATTTACTTGTGCACCAGAGGTGGTCACCTCCTCCGAAATGACAAGGGCTAAGGACAGAGAGTGTGGCTGTTGCTCTGTGATCTACTTCTTTGCAGGGTTTTGCCATGGACCAGCTTAAAAAACAAAACCCGTCTTCCAAGTGTTCTTCTGCAAAGCAACCTAAGTGCCCAGGGCACGGAGGGACGAGACTCGGGTGTGTCAGGGATGATGCCGGTGCCCACCTGCTGCCGAGCGCAGCACTGTTTACCGCGTCAGGCGCTGTCCGGCCGCCTTGCTGCGTGGGGTTCAAGACTGAAGTCTGGCGAGACCGCGGCCTGAGCCAGGACTGGGACAAGCCCGGCCTCTCATTTCAGTGACTTCACATGGCTCAGAGTCAGACACGGCTTCTGAGCGGCCACAGCCCTGATCAACGAAGTGGGAGCCTAGGACTGCGGCTCAGCCACTGCACGGGCCGCGTGGAGCCAGGCAGTGCCTGACGACGACCTGAGGTGCTGCGCCCGGTCTGCGTCCAAGGACACCTTCCTGGGCACGGAGAGCGGGTCCTGGGCAGGTGAGGCCTGCACACCTCGGCCTCTGAAACTTGTTTCCTCCTTCACCTGCACCACACCGCGGAGCTCAGCTCCTGTGTGGAAGCGACTGTACTAATTACCACCAAGGGGAAGTGCACGGAAACAGAGCCCTGGGTCCCACAGTGCGGATTCCACAGTCGCCAAAAGGAAGGGCGAGGATGGCACAGCAAGGAGCACACGGCTCACAGAAGGCCCGAGTGCCAGGCTGAGGCCATGCAGGATGGCTAACGAGAGCCACCAGGCTTCCAGGGAAGGCAGGCTCCTTCCTACTGGAATGTTGGGAAACCCCAAACACCTTGGAGACGTGGAGCCTGGGCTGGAAACCGGAGGCCGGGATCCAAGAAAGGCAAGACCTCGAAGACGCCAGGAGCAATAGCAATGGATGCGGTGGTGGCACAGACTGGAGTCCCCGCTACTCAGGAAGATGAGGCAGGAGGATTGCTTGAGCCCAGGGGATCAAGACCAGCCTGGGCAACATTTCAAGGCCCATCTTTAAAAAAAGCTGGGCATGGTGGTGCACACCTGTAGGTCAGGAGGATCACAGGTTTGAGCTGTTTGGGCAAACAAGCGACTGAGACTATCTCAACATAAAAAATGAGAGGCTTGACATGTAGCTCTGTGTGAAGGACCTGGGTCTAACCTCCAGTACTGAAAAACGAAGTCACAGGCATCTCTCCAGCTGGCCCAAGGAACACGGATGTCCGCAGCTGAGCTGACGAGCGAGCGCACCGCAAGCAGTGCAAGGCTGGAGCGGGAGGGCACAGGCCTGGGCTCAGCTATGCTCGCTCTGAACCCCTAGGGGTGGATGGGGTGCTGAGGTGGCCAGGGAAGGCTGCTGTCCCTCTGTCTAGGGAGCAGCGGGGACAGACAGCAGGCAGGGACGCTGGACTCCGAGGGTCAGGCCAGGAGCAACGCCAACACAGCACCAGGCAGTGGGTGCTGGATGGAGGGAAGGGCCTCAGCCGCGCGCCCTTGACAGGAATGCGGGTGCCGGGTGAGGAGCTGAGGGCCAGAAGCAGCCGCAGGCCAGGCCGCTCGCTCCTCCACTCGGGGCCCCGGTTTTTTAAGGCCCAGTAGTAACTAGACAGCAGCTCCAGGGGAGCCTTGCTACCCCTCCCCTGTGATCCTGTCTTCACAGGGGAGACTCGGGCCGATCTCCCACTGCGGCAGCTCGGGGCCTCAGGAAGCACGCTGAGGCAGCAGGCTGCAAGTTCAAGCCCAGCCCGGGCAGCATAGCACCGAGACCACGGCTCAGAAGCAGACGCCAGCAGGCTGGGATAAGTGCAATACGGAGGCCCTGGCGTCTGTGCCCAGCGCACACCCGGAGGTGACACGAGGCCGGGGACAGTGGAGGAGGAGGAGCATTCGGAGCGGCACTGTCTGAGTTCCAGTGACCGCATCTCAGGGCAGGAGCTCCACGGAACACAGCTGCAGGGTCTCACAAGCCAAGGAGCACAGAAAGCAGAGCTAGTTCATGGTATTTATTTCCAGGTTGTTTACAGGAAAGTCTTTCCCACCGGCAACTCAGGCATAGGAATAGTTGTCTCGTGTGACCGCCTTTTACTAGTTTTATTTTTATAAAAAATCAGAAAACTGTATCCGAGAAGACACCGGTAGCAATTCTTTAAAAAGTGGAGGAGGAGAGTGCTGCTTTGCCCTCAGTAGCTCCGGCCGAACAAGGTGTAGAACTTGGCGGGGTTCTTGCCGCACACGCACCGGGCTCCGGGCTGCAGCTCCTGCAGCGGCCGGAAGGGGATGCAGAGGCTCTTGGCGCCCATGGATGGGGCCCCGGGCTCCAGGTCCTGGTCCCTGTGGGGAACGCCAGCGTCAGGGTGTCCGGTCCTGCTGTGTTCCGCACACGGCCGAGCGAGGTGCTTACCTGGTGGTGGTCTTCTTGATCCAATCCTCGCAGTCGATCTCCCCGCAGAACGGGATCTGGGCGACCTAGTGAGAGAGGGAAGCGCTCACTCTGGCCCCACAGCACAGCAGATCCAAGCTGTGCGGCTCACAGGCATGGGATGCAGGCCTCCACGTCTCAGGGCAGGAGGAAGGAAGGCTGGGCCTCCCGAAGCCCACACTCATCTGGCACGAGGTAAGGCCGCACCTCGGCAACACAGGGAAGACCACTTCCCACAGGGAGTGCTTACAGGGCCGAGAGGCCTGGGCTCCTGTGGGCTCCTGGGCTCCTCCTGGGCTCCTCCTGCAGCCCTTGGCGCCTGTGCTGGCAGCCGGCAGTTTTGAAAGGAGCCAGAGGCGGCGTCCTGAGGGGCTCAGACCCGAGCTGAGCTCCTCCCCACCGCATGCAGTGTTCTGTGAATTAGCAGCCAGGAGACAGGAACCCCAACTTGTTGCCCTGTTTTTAGGACCTGCACATTACAGGTCTACACTAAAGCACACCAGTGCCTGTATCCCAGTACTGTGGCACGCTGAGACAGGAGAGACCGTGTCTCAAAATAAATGAACAAAAATTGATGAATTCGAGTGTGGCATGTACGTGTACCACTACCACAAATGTGACAAATGTGCTCACTATGTATACAAACATACACTAAGACTTAGCAGAGCACAGGGCTGGGAGAAGCCCGGTGTCCACCCGAGAACTGGGATGAGACCAGCCGATGGGAGGCTTGGTCATCGTCTGGAGCACTGCTCACGTCGGACTCCAGTGACAAAGCAACATGGAGCACTGTGGGTCAGGGTGAATGCACACATGGCAGTGCGACCCGGTGCTGCAGTGCCGGGGGCCGGTGGGGACAGCCCAAAGGCTGAGCCACGGGGCTCGGCCTGCACAGGGAAGGGCGCCGCGCCGCACTCGGTGATCTTGGTACACGGTGCCCAGGGCCAGGCTGTGGCTGAGGCAGCACCCGCCCAGCACAGTGCCCCACACGCACGGCCAGGTCCCCCATCCGCCGAAGGAAACAGCGCCATGCTTCCCTGCACTCACCTTCCCAGCATCTAGCGTCTTCTGAAAGTCTTCCATTGTGTCTGCCACTACCATGTGGGTCTTCAGGTCTTCAGAAGCCCTGCCAAAAAATGTAGAAAAGATATATTCGTCTTACAAATAGAACAATATAAAAATTGGTGAGACAAGCATAATTTAATTAAAGAGACACCTGACAGTCAGGAAAGCTCAGGTGAATGGCAACGCCATCCCTAGCAATGACCTTCAGAGGGAACGTCAGTGACCTTAGCAAGGTGCCGCCCGAGCCCGACACATGGCAGCTGCATGGCTCCTGCTCACGCCCCTTGCACGGCTGCTCAGCCAAGGACTGACAATGCCGAGTGACACCGCAGATCACTCTGGGGTCCAGGTCACTTTCTAAACCTCTCCGGCCTACACAAGAACAAGCAGAGGGCCGGGGATGCAGCTCAGCGGTGCCGCGCCTGCCCAACAAGTGCAAGGTCCTCAGTTCGATTCTCGGTTCCAGAAAATAAAAGAGGAGCAAGCAGCAGGCTGGCAAGCAATCCATGGGATTGTCGCAATGAAGAGACATGCAGTATGACATGTGCTGGCAAACAGGGTATGTATTATGGGAGGTATTTTTACACGCTGTGTAATTCTCTCCATAGGGAGCTCAGGTTTTAGAGCTGCACATCAGTGTTCTCCTCCACAAAGTCACCCACTCTGTCACGGGGGACAGAGGAAGAAAGGGCCTGTCCGTTCTTTCCGAACCTGGGGGGACACCACGTGCACACTGAGCCAGGGCCTGTGAGCTGTCCACCGAGTTCACCGAGTCCGCTCCCTCCTCTTCCCACCCCGTCCTTTTCTGCAGTGAAGTGGCCTGTGTGATCCAGGGCCAGGCCGCACACCCTCGCTCCTGAGCGCAGCCCTGCCTCCGAGCTGCTCCTGCAGGGTGGGGAGCAGGAGTCGACCACGGCCTACACCCCGGTCCTCTCACTTGATCTTCCCTCACACGGAACTTCTCACAATACTGAAAATAGCCACTTACCACACGAAGACACGAAATCAGCACAGCCCCATTCAGGATACATGAGTCCTAAAATGAGCCAAGCCTTTGACAAGACCCACAGCACCATGTCTCCCATGCACTACAACTCGTCCACACATTAGCTTCTCTCTGCTTGGTAAAACAAGGATCTAACCAACCATGAGGGCGAGCGGCGACACCTGAGCAGACACACGCCCCTCCTGGCCAACACCACCTGTCCTCGGCTCAGGCAGAACTGCATCCTAACAGCCTCCCAGACCACTCCCGCCCACTGCAGGGCGCGCAAGCCGAGATGCGAAATCACTGCCTAAAACCCCCAAGCCACCCGAAACCCACGGCAGAGGCGAGCTCGGGCCCCAGTCAGACACTCAGGGCATGACAGCACAGCTGCAGCCCAGCCTCCCAGGCCCTCTCCTCTCGCAGGACCCTGCGCCCTGCTTCAGGCAGGTGGGACAGCACACGGCACCCCGAGAACACCACTAATGGGGTGCACGAGCGGCCAAGAGGCTCGGCGTTCCTTACGTGCCCAGCACTGGGAAGCCACAGACACTGCTGTGGACCTCGGGGAAGGGGCGGGCGCTGTTGATTACGGCCACCAGTGTGTGCAGCACATGGGGGTGAATGCCTTAGTCCCCCTCTCGGTTACGGCATAAAAGCCCAGATCTGCAGCCTCTCCTAGGCAACTCCCAGAAGAATTACAGACCCATGCCATAGTGATACACACATACTCATGTTTATACCCACAATTCACAAGAGCTAAGCTCTGGAAACAGCCCGGATGCCCATCAACACACAAATGGGTAGAGGAAATGTGGCACAGATATGAAATAGAGTATTATTCAGTCACGAAGAATGAATTTTCCTGTCATCTGCAGGAAAATAATGCAATTTGAGACCATCATGCTAAGCAAAATAAGACACAGAAAGTTAAAACATTGTTTGGTTTGTCTTACACAAAAAACCTTGTATGTAAATAAAAAATGACTAAAATAAAGGAGAGATGGTAGGGATCAAGAAGGCAGGCTCTTGGGGCACTTTGGAGAGAGAGGGAGGCACAGAGGATGGAGCAAAGGGACTGAAAAGGATCAATTTAGCAAGGCCCCGGCACAGAGCAAACTCCACTGTTCTGCACCACAAACACACACCGGAACAGCACAGGTCACCGCTGTGAAGCTGCTAGGAACAGAAGGCACTTGGCAAAATCACTGCAACACAGGTCAAGACCAGAGGCAGGCACAGCACAGTATGCTGCCTGGGAGCTGGGGGCCACCGCAGGTGCACCCCAAAGCTCCTTGATTCTGAGCTCGGCGGCCAGGTGCAACCTGAAGGCTGGGGGCGAGCACGCTGAGCACACACCTTCTGAAGAGGCTGGCGTGGATGTCTTCCAGCAGAGCCTCTAGCTTCGCCTCGGCCTCACTTTCCGCTATCGTCAGCTTCTCTCCGGTATCTCGCCTCACAGCTACAAACTGACAACTCTTCATGTCGCGGGGCCCAACTTCGAGTCTGATCGGAACTCCCTGTGGGGCAGGCAGGGCACTCACTGAGAGCCAGCTTACCTCGTGGCTTTGTCTACGTGAGTCACAAGGAACCCAAAAGCAGAAGTGCAGTCGAGTGAGAAGCATGCAGAGGACACTGCTGGAGTTAGAGAACGAGCTGTATCAGCAGATCACCTACTGCCTGAACGCTGTGGGCTGCAGAAGCACAAGCACACCACGGAGAAACCAACAGGGCCGCTGTCAGGGCAGCTCCCACCCGCACCAAGGGCATGGAGGCGGCCGCGAGGCTGAGGCCAACACCTACGGCACCGACCACAGCCCTGCACTTCTCCCTGGCAGCTGCCCCGGGAGCCCCTGTGCCTGAGGCCCTGAGGACAGCTCTCAGCTGTGAGTGGCCGGCCCTGCCATCTGCTCCTTGGCCGGCTACCTCGGGCTTTTACCAGGCCTCTCGTTCCTAGGGCCCAGAGCCTTACCTGGCAAAGGAGGTTTTACACTAACAAGACTTTTTCAGATAAGTCACATCCTCTACGAACAACTCAGCTGCTGAGTGGTGGCCCAAATCAAAGCCACGGGGCTTTACTTTCCCACCAGAGGAGCTCGTGAGCATCGCAAATGAGACAGAGGACACTGAGGTGTGGCGACACTGTGCCATCACTCTGCAGCCTGCCTGCTGTTCTTGTCACTTACATGAATCTGGCATCAACGGTTTCACCCAGCGACCCTGTGAGGTTTATTCACTACAAGCAAAGGCTTCAAGATCATTCTTACTGTCCTAATTTTTAAGAAATAAGCTCCTATGAAAGCTTCTGACAGGGGGCGGTGCTGGGGATCCCCGGGGCTTGCAAGCCTGAGCCACCCCGGCCTCAGCCACACAGCAGCTCTGGGTGCCCTGAGGCAAGGTGTGGACCACGCGGGTATCAACATTCACCACGCCGAGGAAGAACTCTTCGAAACTCTTCGGTCTCACAGAAACAGAGCCTGGGAAAGGCCCAGACCTATGTGGGGCGCGGGGTGGGGTCACCTTGAGCTCCCAGTGATTGAACTTCCAGCCCGGAGAGTAGTTGTCTCGAAGGTCGACGCGGGTGCGGATGTCGGCCCCGAGCAGTCGCCTGCAGTAGTCGCTGCACTTCACCATCAGCGCCTCTCGGTCTCCCTCGGACAGCGCATTCGTGATGCCGCAAGGGATGACCACCACCTGGAACCCGCACCCAGACAGAGGTCAGCACCGGGAGCCTGCGTCTGAGCACGGGCCAGCGTGGGGACGACGGCCTGCACATCACAACTCACTGGCCACACGTCTGTGCCCCATGCATCCTCCCAGCCCGCCATTCATTCCACCTCTCGGACACCACTTCAAAAACAGATTTGGGAAGATTACACAGAGTAGCTTTAAAAGTTCAAAGAACAGAAACAGTGAAGCAAACAGCCCACAGGTTTCCGGGCACAGAGGTCTGGGCAAAGTCTGCCCAAGCGATATCCAGAATCCCCTGCCAGCTCTCTGGCAGACCCGGCTCAAATGCACAGGAGCGAGCGGCGCCCCCTACCTGCACGGAGGCCACCCGGGGCGGCAGGACCAAGCCCGTGTTGTCCCCGTGGACCATGACCATCACCCCAATGGTGCGTGTGGTCAGCCCCCAGGAGCACTGGTAAGCAAACTGCTTCTCTCCTGGTGTCTTGGGATCTTCAAAAACGATCTCACACATTTTGGAAAAATTCTGGCCTAAATGATGTGACGTTGCGCCCTAAAACAGTGACATATAAAGAAGCTTTAATGTTAGTGACCTACTATGCCTCTGAAAGCGATTACTGTAAGATCACGTTATAAAGGGACACCACACTTGTCTTTTTTTTTTTTTTTTTACATTAAATAAGGTTTTCAAATCAAGTATAACTGATACAATGAAAGACTAGAATTAGTCGAAAGATACTCCACCAGTGCTTTGCTCTGGGCAGCCCCATTCCCAGGAATAATATGCACTGGATTTAAAAGTCCATGCTTTGGTAACTAGGATACAGGCCATGATTCAAGTGACTGTGGAGACTCACAAGACTAGGACAGATGCTCTTAAATTACTACAGGCCCAAGAGGCACATGAAATACTTGTTTTTTATTCATTTGTATTTAAGAGTTAAACAAAAAACATAAAAATTGAGCACATTAATGAGACAACATGTGCTATTTCCGTCGACAGATACGTTGTCCATGGAAATATAAAACTGAATGTATGACAGCTCCATCAGGGTCAGGTTGGACAGTTTTCCTTCAGCTTTCAGAATGTGCACTACTGTCGTCCAGTCACCCCACTACCCGACCGCTCGCTCGAGCCCCTCAGGCCTGGCCAACTCCAGCGAGGCACCCACTGCCCGCCTCCCCTCCCACCCGCTCTCCCGGCCCCTCGCAGCTCCAGGACAGGTGGGGCTCATCTTCCTGGGCCTGCTTATTCCACCTGATGACCTCCAGCGACATCTACGGCACTGCAAATGACAGGACCCCCACAGTGCTCTATGGCTGAGCAGTACGGACGGTGTGCAAGTGCTGCGCGTCCGAGCGTGACCATCAGAGGACGGACGCCTCCTGGCTACAGCGAGCAGCGCTGGATGGACACGGGTGCTGCTGTCTCAATCCGCTGATTCCATCCCCTCCAACTCCACACCCACAGGTGGTGCTGCTGAATCACATGCAGCTCCATTTTCAGCTTGCTGAGGAGCCCACACTGTGTCCATGACAACGGGTACCTGGATGGCCCTGCCGCTGGCGGATATGAAGGCCTCCACCGTGGTTGTGTAGTCTCCGCCTGCAAACTTCTCCTTCTCCGTCTTCCTGCCCTTGACCACGGGGATGGCCAGGAGCTCCTCATACACCCGCGTGTACAGCTCAAGGATCTGCAGGACCTGCAGCCCAAGTTCAAGGCAATGTGTTCATGTCTAGGGCTAATTTACTCATTACATTTAAGTTTTTTTGGTTTTTTTTTTGGTACCAGGGATTGAACTCGGGTCCTTGCGCTTGCGAGGCAGGCAGCAGAACCACTGAGCTAAATCCTCGGCATTAATTTACTCATTACAGACGTACAGAACAACACTGCCTAGGACTAAGTGCACTGAGAGCAGACTTCTAGGAATAAAAACTGAATGGAAAGGTTCAAGTAGCCAGTGTGAGATTTATTATGGAAGATAACCAACAAAGCAATGTCAAGTAACCTTTACAAATGAATATAAGGTTAGAAAATAAGAAAAAATCGATACTTATGATAGATACATAGCAGCCAGAGTAAAAATCTCCTGAAAAATGATTTAACTTGAATCACTGAACTGTAACTTTTCCCACATTAAAGTCCAAATTATTTTAATTTGGGGGCCGTGCTATTTTTTTTTTTTTTTTTTTTGGTACCGGAGATCGAACTCGGGACCTTGCACTTGAGAGGCAGGCAGCGGAACCACTGAGCTAAATCCCCGGCCCATTTATTTATTTGTTTATTTATTTAACTTTTTTCTTTTTAACTCCCTGTCTAGCCTATTGACTCATATGCATGCAGAGCCTGAAATGACCAGGAGGCAGTCTCAGATTCCAGTTCATCAGAATCAGTGTTTTCTTCCTCCCTTTTTGTAACTAACTTCTAGGCAAGCAGAGGATAAGGAACAGAAAGGAAAAGTTCTGCTAGTGGATCCCTAAGAGTAATGATGAATGTACCCTTTTCATTTCCAAGCACTGATTTCTGGACCCATGTATCCTGGCTAGGAGAAAACAGCAGCTCATATATGAAATGCTGATTAAGAATACACACAACCTTCTGTGAAACTTTGCCCCACCCTGAAAGGTACTGCCATCTAGTGGCACTGTAACTGCATATTCAGAAGGCCACTTTATCATTTTATCAATCTGGATGGTGGGGAAGATGTTAAGACCAGTGGATTCCATGAGCATGAGCCCACTGCCATACTTCTTTGGACCTGAAGTTCATATCTTGATCAGAAGCCATACTACGTGGTGTACCATGATGGTTACTGTGGTATTCTGGTAGTTCATGGATGTTAGTTTAAGCAGAAACATTACATGCAGGAAAGGGAAGTCCACACCCGATCAAGTGTCTATTCCAGTAAGGGAGAAGTGCTGCCTCTTCCACGGTGAAAGTAATCAAATATAATCAACCTGCCCCAGGGTGCAAGGTGATCATTGAGGGGAATGATGCCATAGCAGTGTTTGTCTTTGCTGCTGATAGGCACTCAGCGTTCACCATAGGCAGGTCAGCCTTCTTGAGTGGAAGTCAGTGTTGCCTAGCCCTTTCATAACCTCCATGTCTGTCACCATGACCGTATTGTTTGTGAGCCCACTGGTCAGTGACAGGGGTGGCTGAGGAAAGAAGCTGACTGCTGTCCACAAAATGAGTGTTCTGATGAACTTGATTATTCAAGTCCTCTTTTTCTGAGGTTACTTTCTTATTTATTTATTTTGTATATCCTTTTATTGGTACATTTTAGGTATACAATATAATGACATTCATCATTGGAAATCTGCACCTTTACATAATCTCTCTTGGTTCTTATTTTCCCCCTTCCCCTGCCCTCCCTTCAAGCCCTCCATCCCTCTCTATTTACAAAGACTTTGTTTCCTTTTTTTCATTTTCTCATATTAATTCCATTCCCTTCTTTCCTTTCCCCTACCCCTCCCACTTCCCCTTCCCCTCCCTTTGCCCGTTTTCTTCCTATTTCACATTATCTATTATCCGTTTTAGTCCTTGTTTACACTTTCAGTTTCTCACACTAGAGAAACTATTCGGTATTTACGCATGTGTCCTGTTTATTTATTTTTGAGACAAGGTCTCCCTATGTGGCCCAGGCAAATCTCAATCTCATGGCAGTCCTCTTGCCTCAGCCTCCCCAGTGCTGGGATTATAGGTCCGAGCCACCATGCCCAGCTGTTTCGCTTTGGTTTTGAGATAGGATCTTACTATGTATTTCGGGCTGGCCTTGAACTGAGTGTAGCCCAAAGTAGCCTGGAACTCACAGTGATCCTCCTGCCTCAGCCTCCCAAGTTAAAGTCCATAATAGTCTCCCAAAGTCCAAAATATTTTAAACTGAAAATTTGAAAGAACACATTTCATCCAGGAACAGTATGGCACATGTCTAAAATCCTAGCACTAGAGGCTGAGGCAGGCAGACTGAGAGTTTTTAAGGCCTGCGTAGACAACACGGCGAGAACCTGTCGCAAGAAAAACAAAACAAAAACCCCTGCATATATCCTGAATTAATAAAATTACAGTAAGCAGTTTCTAAAATCTATGTACCCTTGAGTTAATTTTATTTTCCTTTTTACAGATGTTACATAAAATTCAAAAAACAAAATAAAGCAGAGCCTGAACGCTTCCTCTAGCAGACTATCTAATGACAGAGCCAACTTTCCTACCTCTTCTGCTGCTTCTTCAAAAGTGGCGAAGGCGCTGTGCCCCTCCTGCCAGAGGAACTCTCGGGTGCGCAGGAAAGGCTGCGGGTGCTTGAACTCCCAGCGCTGCAGGAAGCCAGAACACAGCAAGGTCGTTATGCAGAGCTGTGACTATGCAACCAATTTCCTGGGGAGGTACCTGAGGCCCCAAACACTTCCCAATGGTTCTGGACTCCCAATTCTTTCAGTACAAAAGTAAGCGACCGGTCTGGGGATTTAGCTCGTGGTCCTGGCACCTGCCTCGCAAGCACAAGGTCCCAAGTTCAATCCCCGGTACAAAAAAAAAAAAGTAACTGACAAAGTGTGCTTTTAAAATCCAACGCCCAGCACAGCCCGAGAGTCGCGTGCACCTACCACCACATTGCACCACTGATTGAGCCGGATAGGCAGGTCCCGGTGGGACTGCACCCACTTCGCATAGGCAGGGTACATGACTGGAAGACAAGGGGATGGGCGTCAGTCACCTGGGCCCAGTGACACCAGCAGACAGGAGAGCATCCAGGGTGCGTGTGATGGTCACCTGTGGGCATTGGTTCCATTTCATAAGCATATCACTCACTCACAGGCATACGTCCACTTGGAGTGATCACATGTTCTATTCTGCACATAAGAGTTATACTTAATCTGCTTTGACTGCTTTCATGTTTTGTTTCTGAAAACACTAAGATGTGCCATGTTTTGTGCTAAGCTCTCTGCATTCGTTATCCTGTTGGATTCTCACATTGAACCCACAAAGTAAATGTCGTATCAATTCTAAAGATAAGCTAAATAACTTCCTGAATCCAGCAGTTATGTATCAGTCAGAATTTTGGTTACTTTGTAACTGATGCATCTACCTACCCAGAGTATGAATGCTCTTGCCATGAGTTACACCCCACCTACCCATGATCCGCAATTAATAAAACTAAACCAGAGTCTGCCAGTCTGTTAATGAGACAAACAGCTGGCTTCTTATTTTCAATAATGTACATACAAGAGGATCTCTAGAAGTACCAAAGAGCAAACAATCCTTAACTCTGGAGAAGGATATCTCAACTTAGAAGACATTATCAAGCCCAGAGCTGTCAGTGCTGCTCCTACTTACTCTGTGCAATTCTAGGAAAATGACCTAGTTTTTCAGAGATCTTTCTTTATCTGCAAAGTGAGATAACAGCTGCCTCTGCCTTCCTCAGAGCACTGCTGAGGGTACCGCATGTATGTACATGAACACACTTACGAACCTTAGAAACCCGGCACAAGAGTAACTCTAAATGGATTCAAATGAAGAAAACAACTGTAAGAATCATAAATATGGCATGAAGTATTAGTGTCTGCACTCATGCTATAATCATTCCAAGAATAAAAATTCTAAGATTCCTTCAAAAGCTCTAAAAATACAGCACAAAATTTTTAAATGATGAGTGTTTAAAAAAACCTCTCTATTGTAATGGTGAAGGCTTCTGCACTGCGCTAAATACTGTGGAAGAGTGAAATGTGTAACCGAGGTTTGTCTCGGTCTCTGCCAACACTGGCTCAGCGTCACATGGCCGACAGGGTCACAGACACCCCGACACCCGCGCACGAGTCCCTCAATCCCGCCCCACCTGTCTCGCTGGTCGGGCGGATAGCAATCGGCTCTGCCAGCTCCGTCTTCCCGGACCGCGTAACCCAGGCCACCTGGGAAGAGAAAGGCGTCTCTCACCGTGTTTTCCCAAGCCCTGCAGAGCAATAGCATAAATGCATGTGTTGCTCAACATCAATTAAGGCACATTAAAGAGTTGCTCTGCTATTCCTGTGAGGAAAAGAACAAATCAGCTAATTCGATAACGTGAAAAGCAGAATCACAGCTTGCCAGGAAGACAGAAACAGAATTTTTAAAAAACTAAAATGGCTTTACATTTCTCTAAATTGGTTGTTTTACACTACTGAAAATATACTTTTGAGTTTATGAGAGAAAACTGCAAAACACCAAAGAAGACCGGCTCCCTCCGCGTACCTCTGGGGCAAAGTCAGCAACATGAGTCTTCTCCTTCTCCAGCGCGCTCTGAGACACGAAGATGGGGAAGTAGCAGTTCTCAACGCCGAGCTTCTTGATCTCAGCATCGAAGAAGGCCTTGATGGACTCCCAGATGGAGTACGCCCAGGGCCGGAGGATATAGCAGCCACTCACATCGTAGTACTCGATCATCTCTGACTTTGTGATGACCTTTCCAACAGAAAAACAGAGTCTGGAGAGATGGAACCAAAATTTCCATACATGTGGCATCGCTGGGGAAGCAGATCTCCAGCCAGGGGCCTCCACTGACCACGGGAGGCCGGTGGGACAGAGCTTGGGTCCCAAGGGTCCCCGAGTGTCAGCGCTGTAAGCGCTTCCCGGACCTCAACTCCAGCCTTGTGTCTGCTGTCATCTCCATGGCTCTGGACTAATCCTTTACCTCACGACGGAGAAATGTCAAATCAAATAACAACTGTCTACCTCACCAGGCACCCTTCCACTCAATAATGTAGGTGACCAACCGTCTTTGCGAACTGTGGCGTTAGTCTGTCAACATGAGTATGACTACTAACTTTGTACTTGGACTTCAGAACCTGAACAGAAAGCAGCCTTCAAAAAATGTAAAACTTAGAGCCGGGGATGTAGCTCAGTGGCACAGCGCCTGCCTGACAATGTGAGGTCCTGAGTTAAATCCCTGGTACCAAAAAAAAAAAAAAAAAAAAAATTCCAAAAAAATATAAAACTTAGGGCTGGGAATTTAGCCCAGTGGTGCTGCGCCTGCCTGGCAAGAGCAAAGTCCTGCGTTAGATTCCTGGTACCGAAAACAACAACAACAAAAATGTAAAACTTACAAACAACTGAGTGCATACTCACCTGAGAATACCAATCGGCAAGATTTTCTTCTTTTTTTGCCTCAAGACCCAACCTGCAGATGTGAGAAACAAAATATGAAACCTTTCACTCTACAGGTGCTTTCAGGTTGTGTCAGTACATTTTCTCTTGCTGTACCAAAACACCTAGTGCCCAGCCTTCGACAGACCGAGTTGACCTGGCTCCCGGCTGCGGAGGCTGGAGGTCACCGGCAGGGGGTGGCGACACACAGGACTGGGCTTCCTGCAGCATGGTGAGGGGACTGGCTGGGCCCCAGCTCCACCAGTGCCAGGGTGAGGGCCCACTCCTCATGACCTCAGCCACCACGGTAACCCCGAAGGCCCCACCTCCAAGCAGCACTGACATGGACGTGGCTCTGGCATCTCCAGCACATACGCTGTCCTTAGGGAGAGCACATTCACACCACTGCAGCTGTCCTGAAAATATGCTCTAAGGGCCGGGGACCGTGGAGTGGAGGAGTGCGGGCCGAGCACACTAAGGCCCTGGGCTCAATCCCCAGCACGTGAAAAACTACTTCTAACCTAGAAAAGTTGCATCTTAACCCTAAGAAAAGCTAGGATTTAATAAAGACATCTCTTTTACAAAGTTCTTTGTCATGTATTTTTAATAAAGACAGAAAGTATATTCACATATACTCTCCACTGAAGAAAATCTTTTATCTCAACCCGTACAGAATTATGGTTACTAAGATCAGTGTCTTGCTGAAAGTAACACGTAAAAGGTAACAGAGACAACTTCTATCTATACACACACATACATGTGTATATACATACATATACAAATGTACATACAAGTGTATGTTTACTGCAGGTTTCTTCCTCTTAGTTATACTGAATAAAAATTGTGAAAAAAAAATTGTGGAGGTAGATCTTGTACATTCAATCTGCAATAAAAACTATTCTAGGAGGGCCGGGGATTTAGCTCAGTGGTTCCAGTGCCTACCTTGCAAGTGCAAGGTCCCGAGTTCGATCCCCAGTACTGACAAAAAAAAAAAAAAAAAAAAATCTATGATCTATGCCCTTGTCTGTATATATATAGGGATTTTCTATCAGATCAGAGATGATTTGGGCCGGGGATTTAGCTCAGTGGTTTCGCTGCCTGCCGCGCAAGCACAAGGACCTGAGTTCGATCCCTGGTACAAAAAAAAACCCCAAAAAAACAATAAAAACTATTCTAGGGCACGGGGATGAAGCTCAGTGGTTCCGCTGCCTGCCGTGCAAGCACAAAGTCCCGAGTTCGATCTCCGGTACCAAAAAATAAAAAAAATTCTAGACAATAATCCTTTCCTGGATGTGTCAACTCCTCCGGGAACTTTGACCTACATTTGAAGCTCTACCCATTAGTTATGTTTTATAAAAAAAATAGATTAAAGCCAGGCATGGTGGCACACCCCTGTAATCCTGGCATTCTGGGAGGCTGAGGGAGGAGGCTGCAAGTTTGAGGTCAGCCGGGACAGCTGAGCAATTTAGTGAGACCTCATCTCAAAATAAAAAATAAAACAGGGCTGGGAATGAAGCTCAGTATGAAGGCCCTGGGCTCAATCTCCAGTGAGACCCCTCCCCCAGAAAAGAGGACATCTTTCTAGGGTTCACAGACAAAGCTGTACTGACTTAAATTTCAACGTATTTGCATTTGCGTTCTTCACTGTCATACTGACACATCTCCAACAGACGATTACAGGAAACTCAGCCCCTTCCTAAGCCGTCAGAGAGTAAAAAGTAAGAAGCTCTGCTCTCCCTTCCACTACTCTATGGCCCTCATCGCCTCAGTCCAGAAGCAGACAGGGGTGACTGCTGCATTGTCTTAGTCCGGGAGACGACGTGTACATGATGTGAGATGAGAAGGGGCGGAATGTGAAATTCAGCCAAAGAAATCTAAAACCACAGTATCTCAATGACAGCATTTTGTTATTAAGCCACTAGAGGAAATCGATCACAAAGCTCTAATTTTGGGATGGGCCTTGTAGACAGGAAAATTACATCACTCAAACAGACTGAAAGATCCTAAAGGGCACAAATAGCCCACTGTTTTGTCTTTAATCCAGCTTTGTTTTATATTTAAATATTCTTGGGAATAAAGTTTGGTTTCCATAAAATTTTCATTTGAAAAATCTGCTTAAGGTGCAAAACACTGTGTAGTTAAAAGGCAGGAGAACAAAAAGATTTATAAACATTTATGTTTACTGTGTCACTGGGTGCAGAGTGGGTATCCCTCTTCCAAACTGCCTGGGACCACAGCATTTCTGATTCTAGAGTTTTCTGAATTTCAGAACACAGCTACACTTTATGACTGTGCTCATAGTTGAATCTCCCTCCTCAGAGGCTCAGATTAAGGGTGCTCTACCTGTAACAGTGGTCACTGCTAAGGTTCGATGGTAACGGAAACTGGAAAGCTGGAAAATGAGCACAGGAATTGCTTACATTCTAAGATTCTTAAACCAAGCAAATACACTGTTACTAAAATTAAATAAACTGAAAATTCACAGATGCTATGCTGCGAGCACTTCAACTTTAGCAGCCTCTGACTTGATAGCCAAACTAACCACAATTTGATTATTAAAAAATAGCTTAAGGGGGCCGGGGATTTAGCTCAGTACTTCTGGTGCCTGCCTCGAAAGTGCAAGGTTCCGAGTTCAATCCTCAGTGCTAAAAAAAAAAAAGGGCTTAAGGGCTGGGGATTGAGCTCATTGGCACCGTGCCTGCCTAGCAAGGGACAACATTGAGTTCCAAGCCAGGGATTTAGCTCAGTGGTTCCAGCACCTGCAGCGCAAGCGCAAGGTCCTGAGTTTGATCCCCGGTACCAAAAACAAACAAACAAACAAACATTATGAGTTCAATCCCTGGTACTGCAAAAAAATAAATTAAATTTAAAAAATAAAAAATAGCCTAAGCACTGGATTCCCTCAAGGTCCTGCCTGGCCCGTGCCAGCGAGTGGTGGCCCTTCTTACCGCGTTTGCTTCCTGGGGCCCTGCCCTTCTCCGGCACCGCCGGGTGTCGGCCCGCTCCCCTGGCTATTAAAAGGCTCTTTGCCGTGGCCGTCATGTGCTTTCTGAGGCTTATTCTGCTTTTCGGATTTGTTCTCCTTGTCTTTCTTCTTCTTGTCTCTGTCGTCAGCACCGGTGGCAGACACGGGCTTATACTCCACCCCCGCCAGGGCCTTGTACTGCGCCTTCAGCTGCAGCAGCACCTGCACGGCGGGGTCCACCTGGTCCTGGATGGAGGAGGGAGGGGGGCACTCACGTCACTGCCCAGGACCTGTGCGCGGGTGGGCGGCTTTCAAGACGGGGAGGTAAGGGACGGCGTGGGGGCAGGAAAGGGTCCGAGACACAGACGTGAGTGTGCGGAGGAGTCGCACGCAGCACCGAGGTCTGTGGCCACGCTGCCCAAGCACCAGGCACCAGGCACCAGGCACACAGGGCTGTGTAAATTTAAAGTAAATAAAAAGCTCAGGGGAAGTAAACCAAATAAAATAAATAGGTAAAATCTCAGGGGAGCCAAGGATTTAGCTCAGTGGCACCATGCCTACCTCCAGGCACACGGTTCTGAGTTTGACTCTCCTTTTGGTACTGAGGAAAAAAAGAAAACACCTCAGGGGAAAGCCATCAAGGGACGGGTGTTAAGTATTTCACAAGCAGAGGAATGGCAGGAATCAGGTTTCTGTGTTACCAGCCAAACCTCAAAACCTTGTAACAACTGCCTGGCTTCCATGCATGGGAATTTGTAAAAATAAATAATAAGAATGATAATAGTGATAATAATCCAGATCAGAGCTCAAGATAAAAATCTGCTATTTGCAACTGACAGACCTTTGGGAGATCAATCAAATATGAAGGGTCTACAAGGTGCCAGGCACTCCTGGGTTTGGGCCCCAGAAATTAGGGCTTTCCGGATCAGCAGGAGAGAGGCAATGTATCAGACAACATGCAGTGCCCTTCAGCACTACGTGTGGGAAGGACAGTGTCATATGCAAAGACCCGGTCATAGGTCACATCTAGTTGGGGGAGAAGAACTGACAAAAGTTCCTTTAGAGAGCTGAGAACTAAAGTAAGAGAAGTCACCTGGATCTGACGGAGAGACTGTTAGGCAAAGAAAATGGTGTGAAACGTGAAAAAGCAAAGCACACAAAGAAAATACAACGCTAACCTTGGAAGCCTTTTCAGCTTTAAGTTTCCGAACCACTTCTCCCTGAGCAGCTACCCTGGCAAACAGCACCTGGGCCTCCGGTGCCTCTGGGCCCGAGGACTCCCGGTCCCCAGCAGGGCTGGACTTGGAGCTTGGGGCCGGCGGCTGGCCGGGCACGTACTCCTTCCCAGTCTTCTCTTTGTACTCGGCTTTCAGGGACAGTAAGCACTCAACAGCTTGGTTTATTTTAGCCTGAGACAGAAAAAGAAAAGAGATACTCATTAATTCCTAAACTTTCTGAAAATTTCAGTATGACTGAAAAATCTTCATTATCACCAAAAAACAGCCCTCTGAATCCGCAGATTCGCCAACCGAGGCTCCAGGGCATTCAGGGAGCAGCTGTCACTGTGCCGAACTCGCCCAGACTCCGTGCCTGTCCTCACAGCGTGGCGATCACACGGCACCTGCACCGACGTAAAGTGTGCGGGTTGCTGCAAACACCGCTACTTTGTGCTGGGACCTTGAGCCTCCTAAGTTGGTACCCAAGGGGTCCTAGAGCCAATCCCCATGGAAACAAGGCCCAGCTGTGCTATGGTAAGTGAGCCATGCAGAAACCATGTTAAATCACTAGCGTGAAAGAGCAGATAAAGCTCAAGAGAAGTTAAAAATATAAATCACATACCTCTCCCATACACAGGTCACAAAAATAACCATGCACACACTTCTGTCTTGCAGAAACAGGCACCTGTGCACAGTCAGCCCCAGGCCCTGGTTCTGTACATGGCGAAGTCAGAATTTACAGAATCGGAATAAAGATCAGCCCATAAAGATGGCTTTATGTATATAAACTTTCCTCCAGCCTCCCCAACAGACATTAGATTCAGCACTGGGAAAAAAGTGCGGGCCCAACTGAAGACACACTCTGAAAAGTTTCCACTGGAGGAAGAAAGAACAGACACCCCTCTGTGCATCTCCACCTCTGAACTTCCAAAGAATCTTGAGCAAGGACGACACACCCAGGCCACGACACATGTGACACTACCAGAGGGGACAGAGTGCGGGTACAGGTCTGTGAGGGGACCTCACTCATGATGGGAGCCTCGGGCATCCGCCAGAGCACTAAGGAAAAGGACATTGGATTATTCCTCCCATTATCCTGTCCACAGTCACTGCGTACACAAGCACAGGCCAGTGCCCCAGATGGCTGAGTGAAGCCCAACCCAAGCCAAGAAGCATAGCAAGATGGGGCCACAGAGTGCAGGAAAGCACTCACGACTTCGAAGAATCTGCAAGGCGACAGTGAGTCACACCATGTCCAGCTACTGTGACACCCAACACTGCCCTGCCCGCCGACCCCGTCTGCCTCACCAGGGGCCACGCGGAGGGAGAAGCGCAGGCAAGGGCAGGCTGGCTCAGAGCCCTGACCGCCTGGCACCTGGTTGTACCCCAGTTTTAGAATTAACAGTTGCTTCACAGCAGAGGCTGTCTTTATCTAAGAAAAAAAGCACGGTTAATCAACAAGCAAAGTTGAAGAAAGAAACTTCCTCAGCTAAAAGAATGAAGATGGAAAAGAAGTTAAGAAATTCCCTGGCGAATATCTCTAGAAAAAGAGGACTACTTGAAAAAAGTCCTATTGTACACTATAAGCAAACATTCACCAGAGTTTGCAGTCAAACGGTCCATTTTCACCCAGTGAAATAACATAAGACCCTTGTATGGCAAGATTCTAATTTGAAGTATTACACGAGAAAATTAAGGAGAACAAACTGTTTCATTATTGAATGGGATTCTCCAGATATTTAATTTTACTCTCCTGGGAGAAAGGGAAGAAATTATGTGCTTCTTTTCTTTAAAAAAAGAATAAAATTATACTAATCACTCTGCAATTTTCCCTGACGATTTGGTATGTACTCGAAGATTCTTGAATTAGAATTATGAATAAAAAAATAATTGCTATCAGCCCAAAGCATATTTATTCTGTGCCAAACACTGCTAAGAGCATTCTATGGATTATCTGAATTCTCCAAATAATCCTTGTCCACATGTTACAGATGCAGCAAAGTGTGGAAATTCAAGTACTTTATCCCACGTCACACAGAGAGCGGCAGAGTCAGGGTTTCAGTCCAGAGCTTGTCCCAGCCCTGCACAGCATTACAGTAACGAGACAGGAAGCGATGGTCTAATCCTCACATGTCGAGAATCCTGCTTTTCAAAAGAGAGCTGAGTGTTACTTTGACTGTGTCTCTTAAAATACAGAAAGCAGAACTGAAGGAGAGAGGCAGATAATCTCTTAACATTCTCGTTTTGCACATGAAAGGCATGTACGCCCAAAGGGAGCTGGAAGCACAACACCCACAGGAAGCTTACAGAGCACTTGCTCAGGGCTGAGCCTTATGTGTCCAACCATGCGATGCCAGGTTTCAGTAAGTAACTGCTGGTGCAGATTAAAAAGAAAGGAAACAACCCACATAAAGAGTTCAGTAAAGGTTTCAAATCAGAATTTGAGTTAAGTAAAATTGATCGTAGGGCCAGGAGCAGGGATGCACACCTGCACTGCCAACACTCAAGATGCTGAGGCAGGAGGATGTCAAGTTTGAGGCCAGCTGGGCATACACAGTGAGTTCAAGGCCACCAAGGACTACATGGGGAGACCATGTCTCAAAAACAAAATAAAAAAATCATCATAAAATTATGATTCAAATTTGGCAAGTGTGGAAAATGGAAGAGAACTCACCTGGTTACATTTAGAATAAAAAGTACTCCATTAGCAACTTAATGAGACTGTCTGAAAATTTTTTAAAAAGGGCTGGGGCTGGGTGTGGTGGTGCATGCCTGGAATCCTAGCACTCAGGAGGCCAAGGCAGAAGGATTACAATTCGAAAACGACCTGGGCAATTTAATAATTTAGTGAGACCTTGTCTCAAAAGAGGAATGTAGCTCAATGCAAAGGCTCTGGGTTCAAATCCCAGTGCTGCCAAAACAAAACAAAAGAGGCAACATGAAGCTGTAGGTTTTTATTCCATGCTCATCTTTTTGCTTGTACTGTCTCTATGCTTAGAGCTCTCCCACAGGAGTACTACCTCATCCTGAAACAAAAGGAAAAAAGTACAACAAACAAGGCAAGCAAAGTTCACCTGCAACTCAAAAGCCCCTGCTTCCTGTCTGGGGAGCACCTTCCTCACTGCCACCCAACAGGGCAGTGAGCCGCGCGTGCGCGGGTGACAGGACGCCTCGCACGCCTGCCCAGCAGCGCAGTGGCTAAAGCCCTCCTGCCGCCTGCCGCCCGCTGCCCACCACCCGCCTCGCGGGAGCTCCCTCAAGAACCAGCCAGAGGACAAACCCAGGCTCTGCCCACTTCACAGTCACTTCCACCCTCCAAGCTCCCTGCTTACTACGGCAACCAGAAATAAGCGCAGTGACCTGTGACCAAGGACAGGGCGCTGTGAGGCTGACAGTGCACGGGCACAGTGTCCCGAGTCCTCGGCCACCTTCAAGCAGCGTGGCGACTGCTGCTGGCTTCCGAGAGCACAGGCAGCGACCTGGCGCACAGCTGTGCTGCCACGCGGGATGGTTCAAAGAACAGGTACACTGCGCCAGGCTCAGATTTCCAGTAAGGCGGCCACAGTGCCACAATACCTCGTGCCACTGCCTGCCCAATCACCAGAGCCTGAGATCTGCTCTCATCACAGGCTGAATTCTCGTGACCTCAGCGGTGTCATTTTATGAATCCGTCATGTGCAGCATTACGTGGTGGTGATTGTCACTCAGCTGTAGCAGCTGTTCCTACTCAACACCCAATGAGATGAGAGAAAACTGGTACATAATTTGTGTATTCTGGCCAGAATAAAGAAACCTGAAGACCAAAGTCCCCTGCCACTGTGTCCATGACGGAGTCCACAGTTAGTGCTCTGTCACCCTATGCAGGAAACACCAAGGGTTTACACACCACACCCGGCAGCCTTCGTCCATGCAGCCATGCTGTCATGGTGACCTCAGTCAAGCAGGCGTGCAAGAGACAGGAGCGAAGACTTCGCCTGGCTCACAGTGGAGACAGGAAAACATCAGCACCTGCACAGAAGCCCACTTCCTGTTCCAAGGGAACCAAGCGTTTGGGATGAATGTGTCGTGGGTGTCTGGCCTCCAGCCACATGCCTGGCTGCTCCATCCCCGAGGCGCAGAACCCACAGCCTCAGGCTCCTCAATCCCCACCCACGCCAGGACTTGCAGGGACCCCACGGCAGCACCGGCCCCTCCAGCACCAGTCAGGCCAGCGCGAAGGGGCCCCGCTGTGAGGCTGCAGGCTGACTTCTGGCAGCTCATCAGACGCCTCCAGCAGGTCAGTGTTCATCTGCTAGCGTTTCAGAGGCAGGCCACTGTCTGAGCAGAACTGTCACCCCTGCTTTAAACTCGACCTTCCTCCCTCACAGGTGCCAGTCCCTTTGATTTACACTTCCCTCAAAAAGTGGTGCCAGTGCTCGGCTGCCCTCTGAAGCGCCGGAGATGGTCACAGTCAGACGGCCTCCCGACAGACTGGCTGCCACTTCCCAAGTGAGGTCATCTTCCCCACCAGCGGTGTCAGACAGCACCCTGCCAGCAACACTTGCACCCAGGAGTGGCCGGGGCCCTGCAGCAGTCTGCCCCAGAGCCCGGAAGAGAAGCACGGCGCTGCCCTCTACGGCTTTGCACCCAACTCGGCCGCCCCGCCCTGCCCCGCCTGGCCCCGCCCGCAGGGCTGCTGTGCCGGTGGCCTGCAGGGCGCTGGGATCAGAGCCGAGCTGTGCACAACCTCCACTAGCTCCCCTCAGCCAGCCGAGCACCTCAGCCCCGCCCCGCCGGCCACTAGGCATCGACACGCCCCCAGAGTTCCGGTCTCCTCCCCCGCACGCCCCTCCTGTCCCGAGCCCAGCACACGGACCGACGCACAAGTGAGTGAGTCAGTGCCGTCGTCCGTCCTGGTGCCCAAGCAGGCATCCAGACACTTCTGCTTTGCTGGAAGACAGGCGCCGGCGGGCTGCGCTCCACGCTGATGCCCTTCCCTGTGACGGACGCCCTCGCCTCCTCCAGCCCACTGACCTTGAGGGCTTTCTCAGCTTTCAGCTTTCGAACCAGCTCCCCTTGTGCGGCGACTCTGTCGTACAGAGATCTGCTTTCCAGAGCGGCAGCTGGTGACTGAGAAGCAGCCTCCTGGGCCCCTGCAGCGGGAGGGCTCCCAGGTTTATACTCCTGGCCAGTCATCTCTTTGTATTCGGCTTTCAGAGCCAGGAGCTGTTTTACTGCTGCATCTATGTCTTCCTTGGCTGCTTTTCTGGCCTTTAATTCTCGCACTGTGTCCCCCTGGGTAGCCACTCGGTTGTAAAGGACCAGGAAATCCTCAGATGGAGCCCAGGATTTATACACAGGAGGTGCTGGTCTTTCCTTAAGAGAAGGACTCATCTACCGATGCAGAAAGCCAGAAGTAAGAGGATTAATTCATGGCAAATGTCTTCCCACAAAATTACACTAAACTGATTCTAAAAATGTATCCTAACAAAAAAAACACAAGTAAAAACAGATAAAAGTACGTGGATATTCACTGAAGCATTTTTATCTCAGGAAAACCTTAGAAAACCTCCACCTTTATTGTCAGGGGGCTGATGAAACAGCTGCCAGGCCTGAGCCCAGCACTGCTGAACGAACACACCTGCAGCGTGACCCTGAATGATCTGTGCCGGAATAGAGCGTGGATCTACCCTGCACTGAGAGACTCCGGGGTGCCGCAGCAAGTGCAGAGCAGTGCTGTGCGTGCTGCAGCACCGGTGCACCTGACATCCGTCAAGCACTGCGTGTGCGCTACCTCAGGGTAGTTCAGGGTTAACATTAGAGTGTGCTGTATTCCTTGCGATGAATTCCTTCGAAAAGCTGCATTTCCCATAACTACTAAGTTAAAAACCAAATGTCAGCCGGGTGTGGTGGTGCACGCTGTCATCCCAGCACTTGGGAGGCTGAGGCAGGAGGATCACTTCCAGTTTGAGGCCAGCCTGAACTACATAGTGAGACCCTGGCTCAAAAAACCCCAAATGTCAAATGAAAACTCAACATGGACAGGAAGTAGGATGGTAGTGTCCAATCGGAGTCAAAGTCCAAGAAAGAAATAATAGTCTTTCTTTCAATTTGTGTATCACTCTAAGAATGAAAAATTAAAATACTTAACATTTAAAAACAAAATATTTTAGAATAAAATTTAAAATCTTTTTGATTTATGCATATTATTTTTTCAAATGGCTATTGTATCATTAAGACATAAACATTTGTGCAGTTGTTTCAATGTAACTACTTAACGAGGGGCGCATTAGGAACTTCATGGAGTGCCATGAAAACACTTCTGAGAAACCACGAATGCTACACACTGAGGGAGTTTGAGGCCCTGGCCTGTAAAGCTGCCCCTAGCTGCAGCTGGATTCCCAACTCACTCTACTGAGATGATTTTACTTCCAAGGGGAAAATGGAACAGAAAATGCTCACGATCACTCATGAAAGGGCGAGGAAACAGCTCCCGGCCCACACAGCGCATCCTCTCGCCTTTCTCCTTCCGACCCTTCGTGGCCATGGGAAGCTCTTCTCCACACGGCCCCAGAGGAGGATGGGAAAGTACCAGCAGCGAGAGCCAGGAGGCCATGCTGCTCCTGTCCCTGACAGAGAAGCTCCATCGGGCGGGCCAAACACCTCCATCCCTCAGCTCAGTGGGATGGGGACCAGGATGGGTGGCTCAGAAAACAAGGGCCACCGCAGCTTGGTTACCGTAAGTAAGGGGAACACGCTTTTCTAGACACAGTCTTTCCACCTAGCCTTTCTTACTTTTTGACATAATAAAATTATATTTTTAAAAATCTTGTTTTGTGCAGATGTGGTGGTTCCTAACTATAATCCCAGCATGAAGAAGAGGGCCTACGAGTTCAAGCCTGGGCTATAGACTGAGTTCAAGGCTGAGCTGGTCTGCATACTGAGACCCTGTTTTGAACTAAATAAGTAAGAAAAGCTTGCTTCACAAGATACTTGTCTTCCTCAGTCTCAAGTGTAAGATGCATCTAAAAACTAGGACAGAAAGACCACTGATTTCAGACATACACACACATTTACCTCTGTTTTTGTGGCTTCTCCTTTGGTCTTTTCCTTTGACCCAGATGTTGGCATTTCCTTTGTATGTCCATCAGGAATGTATATCAAAATGCAGGGGGCTTCTTTGCAACTATATGGGCTAAAAAGAAAATTTAGGGACAAAAAAATTTACTTGGGATATACAGCAAGTAAAACTGATTCCCTGGATAAATTCAACAGCATAGAGTTTATGCTTTTCATAGTATGAATAGTCCATCCTCTTACAAGTCAGATCAGAGCTCTTCAGAGTAGTTTAGAACAGGAAGTGCGTGAATAGAAGCCAGCAGGTGAGATCACAAACTTCCCCTTTACGAACACTCACGGATCTGAACCAGCTGAGCCCAGGGCCACAGGCCCTAACCCCCCACCACCAGAAATACACCAGTGCACATTAACGGCGGCCCCAACTTGAAGGGACCTATCTACACACTGCACCTCACCCGCCAACATGCAGAAGAAATCTGTAAAAGTGTGTTTCACAGGAGTTCTCAACTCTGCCAGAATAGTAACTAGCAATAGTGCACTGTCTCTGAGGCTATGGATCAGCAGATTTCTGCAAATTGTGTGGTAAAAGCTACAAGGAAAATAGTGAAACAATTTGCCAATAACAGGACTCTCAGTATGTTTACTGAGAGAATTCCCATCGAAAACATTCGTTCTTTCCAAGTACACAATTTGGTGGTTACATAAAAACATGCAGCCATCACTACACAACTTCAGAGCATTTCCGTGATGCTGGAAAGAAACCTCCCGCCCCTCACTGTCCCAGGTTGGGGTCAGCCCCTCTGCCCGCTCCCTGCTCACTGCTGGCCTGCCCTGATGCCCGCGAGTTGGCGACTCTGGACATAAAAGAAATGGATCTGTGGGACACGAGCTCTGTTGTGACTGGCTTCTTTCACGTTATAGGTTTAGAGTTCATCCATGTTGCAGCATGAATCAAATCAGCACTTCATTTTATAGATAAATATTTCATTATACAGATAAATCACTAATGGATTCATCAGTTAATGGACAAATGGGTTGTTGCAACTTTCTAGCTACAGCTCTGAGTACTGTATTTGTGCACAAGTTTTTGCATGATGTGTTTTAACTGTGCTTGGGTCCGTAACAGGAGGGATAGCTCTGTATCTACCTTTTGGGGGCACTGCCATGCTGGTTCCTACAGTGGCTGCACACTTTCACAACCCAACCTGCCATGCAAGGGCTCAAGCTTCCCCTCCTAGACACTACGCATCATCACCCATATTTAGCCAGCCTGTGGTATGGGTCTGCCTCTTCCAAACAACCAATGAAGCTAACCATCTTTCCATGTGTTTACTGACTGTGTATGGATGCTTTGAAGAAATGTCTTTTTAAATATTTTGTTCATTTTTTGAGTTGCAAAGCTTTATTCTGGATGCAAGTTCTTTATCGAGATATATGTGCAATTACATTCCCCTTCTGTGGGCTGTATCTTTTTCCACAGCAGGGCCTCACCATACCCCTCAGGCTGGCCTACAGTTCCTGGGCTCAGGCCATCATTCCGTCTCCACCCAGGGAGAAGCAGGGATGGCAGGCGCCACCACGCCAGCTCCATGGAGGCTGCCTTTGCAGCTTCACTACGGTAGCCTTTGACACACACAGTTTTTACATTTTGATGGAGTGCAACTTTTCCGTTTCTCTTCGGTTCCTTATGGTTGCGATGTTACATTCAAGAAAGCACTGTTGCCAAGGTTACTAAGTTTTATCCATGTCTTCTTCTCATGGTGTTATAGCTTCAGCTCCTACAGCTGGGTCTCCAATATATTTTTAGTGAATTTTTGTGTGTAGTATGAAGCAGGGTCTAACTTTACTCTTTTGTATGTGGCTGTCCAGTTGTTTCAGTAACATTTGTTGAAAAGTTTGACAATTTTCAGCACAGAACTGAGAACCTACTCTGTTAGTTAGTGGTACCATAGACACCACTGCTATTCACTGGTGGATTAGGAAGCCCAGGCACTGTCTATAATGTCTCCACGCACAATATTCTGACTAAAGGCAATGTGATCCTGAGCCCAGTAATCCTACCACTTGGGAGGCAGACTGAGACAGGAAGATCACTCTGAGCGCGAGGCCAGGTCTGGGCTATGAAGTGAATTCAAGGCCAGCCAAGACTCTGTCTCAAAAAACCAAATGAACAAATAAATAAACGAAAGCAATGTGTAAAAAAAAGTATTTTCCCCTATTGGATATAACAGAAACAAGACAGATAGGTCCTCGTGTTAGATATTCTCAAGAGGAAATCGCCACAAACTATGGGGACTCACAGGTTGGGGACAGAGCCCAGACTGTTACAGCTTAGATCCAAAGTGGTCCCCAAAGCCTCTTTCGTTTGGAAGGTGACTGGGCTATGGGGCTCCAGCTGCCAAACTGCTGGGAGGCAGGGCCTGATCAGAAGAGGTGGACACTGGGTGTGGCCTGGTTCATCGCCCTTCCTGGCTCCTCTCTTCTCTGCTTCCTGACTGCCAGGAGGAGCAGCTTTCCCTCCGCCCACCACTCTGGCTTGGAGCCAGCAAACCATGGACTGAAACGTGAACCAAACTGAAGCTCTCCTCCTTCTTCTCCTTTTAGCTACAAGAGCAGGAGGCATTAGGGGCCGGAGATTTAGCTCAGTGGTTACACCACCTGTCTCGAAAGTGCAGGGACCCGAGTTCAATCCCCAGTAACAAAAAAAAAAAAAAAAAAAAAGAGCAGGCATTGTGTCCCAGCGACTAGAAGGTGACTAAGACGCTAGGTGAATGCAGAGCTCTGGCAAAAGTAAGACTGAGAAAGGTCACCAAGATGGAGCACAAATGGCAAAGCCACTGCAGAGGCAGCAGCTCAGTGCACCTTCGGGGAGCCCAGAGCCTGGGCATGTGCACAGGAAGGGAGGGGATCCCCAACTCTTGCCTCAAGTGGGTAGAAGGCTTCAACGAGCCAAAGCTTGCATTTCACAGAGAAGTGTATTTTAATGACACCAACAGAAGTTTTTAAGTGGGGAGAGATGTGGCAAAACATGTTTTTGAAATTTTCAGCCTGCTGACTGGGAGAGACACAGATCAGAAAGGGGCAAAGCAGGACATAAGGGACATTGTAGAAACTGGAACTGCACAGGGAGCAAGACGCAGCAGCGAGGAGGGTCTGCTGCGGACTGATGAGGAGAGGGAGAGGGAAAAGAACAAAGCTAGGATGCTGGACAGGGTGCTGGAACCTGGAACAAACTGAGTGGAGGGACTAAAAGACTTCTACTCAGTCAGAAGGCAGTGACACAAGTCTGAAGCTCAGGAGACAAGACTGACCACACAACTAAAGAGACATAGTCAAAAGAGACAAAATGAAAACCAAAAGAAACAGGGCAAAAGATTACAAACTAAAAGTTCTCTTCAAAATATTTTGTAGTTCTTTAAAACACTAAAGACATTTTTACCTCATATACCCGCTGCACTCTATAATACATCTAGTAAAAATACACTACTAGAAAAGGAATAATGATTTCTCACCCCCAAGTAAGGTGACTTACTGAAGCGTTTCCTGGTTCAGTGTTAGAAGTGAATATTAATGCTCTCTGTGTGGTATTGTTTCAAAGACATCCCTTTTTCACCGCCTGCTGCGCAAGCGCAAGGACCTGAGTTCGATCCCCGGTACCCAAAAAAAAAAAAAAAAAAAAAGACATCCTTTTCTAAGTCTGAACTGTTACATACAGAAGGTCAGGTCAATCTGAGTGGAGTCGATCGGGTGCAGCCTGCTGGGGAAGGCTCAGCTTTGACGTGCAAACTCGTGGTAAGCTCCACAGCGCTCACTCACCTAACAGGCTCATAGGGCTGATCGCAGATGAAGAACCCTCTTCTCTGCAACTGAATAATGTCTCCTTTCTTCAAATCCTTAAGGCAGGGATCCCCCAGCATTAGCTCTTCACGCTACAAAGATGATACGAGACCAAAATACACTTTTTCCATTTACAGAATTTAAACAAGTCTAAATAAAATACAGCGTTTTCAGTAGCTGGAACAACCTCATTTTAAACAGATATTAAAAAGTTTATGACTACGCACACACAGTGAAACAGAAAGTGTCAAAGAAACAGCAGATGCAGTTATCACTTTTGTGGGAAATACTGAGGACTGAACAGGGCCTTGCTGCATGCAGGGCATGTGCTCTACCACTAAGCAGCACCCCCAGCCCTTTTTATTTTGAGACAGAGTCCGCTAACTTGCCCCCTCCAACCTCAAACTTGTGCATCTTCTGCCTCAGCCTCCTGAGCAGCTGAGCCTACAGGGGTGCACACTGCACTCAGCCGATTCACCACACTTAAAGGTTGGCATTTATTAACTGACTGGCTCCGGGAGACCTTTGAGGAACCGATGGTGGTCCTGTGAAAGTAACTGCTCTTCCCACCACAAATAAGAACTGCCATTAAGAAACTGGGCTGGGCCAGGGCGGGTTGGCCTCACATCCAGGGCGGGGCTCTGCTGCTGGACATGGGCAGCTTGCTGCCTGTCCTCGGGCAGCTTGCCCAACTTATTGTGTTTCTCTTTATTCCTTCACATCTGTTTATTTAAATAGAATCCCACAGGCCTTTTCTACTTTGCTTGAGAAGCCAAAACATTTAAAATTAATTTTAAAAGTGCAAAGAAAAGTTTACAGGCAAAGATGAACGAGGCCTCTTCTAGAGGTTACCTTGCTGTTCTTGTTGATGTACTGCTTGAAGTCCTCGTCCTTCCCTAGCACCGGCTTTGTGATCAAGTGCTCGTAAGTGACACAGATTGTTGGGACAGGAAGAGCCTGTGCAGTCTCCGCGAGCCAGGTGATCTTAGTGGTTTTCTTATAGTCTTTATTCTCCAAGTTCAATTTTCCATCAAGAGATACAATTTTTCCATCTGCATTTCTAATGTAAGATTGAATAGTATTCAAAGAAAGAAACCGTACTGCTATTAATGGGTTTGGTTCTATAACAATTATTACAAAATAAGTAATAATTCTTTTGCATTTCATAATAAATGCGAAAGAATTTTCTTTGAAAAAATTCAAATCAAACATATATCTGAGCTTCTAATATGTGAGACATATCAATTAGTAGATAAATAAAATATAGTACCTGTCACCAAGACACAAATCCACTGGACAATAGATCCAGATGTCTGATGGAGAACTTGGATGTATTTATGAATTTAAAGTCAGGTGTATTAAGTAGCATAAAATCAGAAATACAAACTTGCAATCATATGTAATGATTGCACAATTAACACTACAGTTTACATAAACAAATCGCAAATGTACTACTCCATGTATATAATCTGAAAATCAAATTAATAAATGTTGCATGCTACAAGAGCTAGGAAGTAAAATTAAAATTCACTGTTAACACTGACCAGTTTTAAAGAAACTTTCAGGGTAAGAATTAAATTGTAAATAATGCCCGGTATGGTGGTGCATGCCTGTGATCCCAGCACTCAGAAGGCTGAGGCAGAGGCACGGCCATGAGTTCAAGGGCAGCCTGGGTTCAGAGACCTCAAGGCCAGCCTGCGCTATGCGGTGAGACCTTGTCTCAACAAAACAAAACAAAACAAAAACAAAAACAAAAACAAAAAAGGATTGAGTTATAAATAACTCTTGTCCAAAAGATCTCCTACCAGGCAATTATGTAATGATGATAAAAAGGGATCCTAAACCCTGAGAATTACTTTTTATATCTAGATATAGCAACTTTCAGTACCACAAGTAAAAGATATCCTGATAGACTATGAGTATACTGGAATGTATACTTTTAAAAATTTAAGGCCGGGGATTTAGTTCAGTGCTTCTGCCGCCTGCCTTGAAAGCGCAAGGTCCTGAGTTCGATCCCCGGTACCAAAAGAAAAAACCAATTTAACTTGTATGCAGTCAGTAACATGAGGTAATGAATTATTAGGTAAACTGGGGTCTGAATTGGGTGATGTTCAGTTAGGTAAGTAAACGGGCTCTCCTCTTGTGCTCATCTGAAGACCAGGTGAGTGCTCACCTGTGTATCTTAGTTATGCTGATGTTGCCCCAGTTGATGAAGGTCACTGTCTCCCCCTCCGTGAGTGTCTCGGCATCGGCTCCTTCAATGAGCACCCTGGGGCTGTACCACACGGGCTTCAGGCCCACCTCGGGGTTCTGAGGCGGGAAAGGGCCGCACTTACTAAGCAGCATGCAGACTGCTCACCCCTCACTCGCTCGTTCGCCCCTAGCAACCAGCGTCTGTGCTACCAGGGGCCACTGCGCCAATTAGAGGAGAAGGCCCTGCTTTTCTGCTATCTACTTATTTTCACACACGTGAGCTCCCAAATCGTGTCGGGGTCAAAATCTCTTAAGAGATGAGAGGGGCCAGGATGTGGCTCAGTGGCCCAGGGCCTGCCTCGAAAGCACAAGGTCCTGAGTTCGATGCCCGGTACCAAAAAAAAAAAGGCTAAAAAGTAAAATAAAATGAAGTAAATAAAAAGCAGTAAAGTCCCAGGTAGACGATCATAAGAGGTCACGATCTGAGCACTGACAGCTCCACAGTGAGTGTCACCCTGTTCGAGTCAGCCTCTGACTCTAACACAGCTGACTGATTCTCACATTCGCTTTAATCGCTCAAGCCAGCAGGCGTGACTGCCTGAGATGACAACCATGTGCAAACCAAAAGGACCTCTATCTGCATTTGAGATTTGGGATCAGAATTTAGATGGACAGACACCATTTTACTTCAAAGATGATTTGCACAAAGAGCAGACAGACCACCATGTCTACTGCGCAGACTAAAGCCAAGTAGTGATTCGGTACTAGCAGGGCTAATGTTCTGGTGTAAAAACAGCGGTGCAAGGACCGAGAAAAAGGTTTAAAATCAAAGGCCAGGCCGGGGATTTAGCTCAGTACTTTTGCCGCCTGCTGCGCAAGCACAGGGACCCGAGTTCGATCTCCGGTACCAAAACAATAAAAAATAAAATAAAATCAAAGGTCAACTTAGGGCCTGGGCTTTAGCTCAGTGGTGCTACAGCCGCCTCACAAGCGCAAGGTCCTGAGTTCCATCCCCGGGATCAAAAAAAAAAGATCAAGTTAAACAGAATGCACCTCAGGTTCCACATAAAGATACAGACACGCCTCAGCTCTCATAGTGACTCCAGAAGAGCTACATTCCTTTTACACACTACCACACCATCTGTACAGAACAGGAATCAGTGCTGAGCATAACAAATCTTCTGTGTGATGTGCTAGCATTATCAGAATGAATTTCAGCGTGAAATCCACAAAAAGATCTACTTCGATTGGCAGCCAATCCTGACAAGTAGGGCCGGGGATTTAGCTCAGCGGTTTTGCCGCCTGCTGCACAAGCGCAAGGACCCAAGTTGAATCCCCGGTACCAAAAAAAAAAAAAAAAAAAATCCTGACAAGTAATGCTGAATAAAAATTATTCTCAAATAATGCTACTGCCGAGAAAGCAGTCTGGCTGTTACTATCCGGCCCCTTCTTTTAACAGGTGAAAGTGGGGGTGAGACTAGGGTGACCTTCGGGTGTCTGGCAGCCTCCTTCATCTCCTCCTGCACCTCGGGGACGAGCACGGGGACCACTTCCTTCTTCAGCAGCGCCACGTACCTTGGAGCCACAGGGTCAATGACCTGCAACAGACACGGCCACCGGTGTCACGACAGAGACTGCAAACCACCACATACAGGGAGGCACAGCACACCACGGCTAGCCAGCTTTCTGTGTTACTGCATTTACTAATCTTTTGGTTACCTGACACTGCTCCAATAATATTTTACTGTCAAGTAGAAAAAAAAACCAATCATAAAACAAGATGACATGAAGGACTTAGAGTTCACTCCCAAGAATAGCTCTTGGCAAGTGACAGGAAGCCAATGAAAATGTATTAGAAATGTTCTGGAAATAATCCTTAAATCTGTTATTTGAGGTGGAGAACCCCGTGGGCTCCATATCAGCCCTTAAAAGTAGATGAGATGGCAACTTGAGTTGGTACTGTTGGAAAGCTCCATTTTAGGAGAATCCAGATTGTCTGTGTTTCAGCATCATTTTCTATAATCAGTGTCAGGCAACACTTCGCCATCAACAGCAGAATGGCATCAGGCCACTACTATAAGGCAATTTTCTAGATCAAAAGTCTTAACACATCACATACAGGTTGGCATCCCTAAGCCAAAATCCAAAATCTGATGCTTCTGGACCTGTGCACTCTCACTGTAGATAGAGGACACTCACTGTGAATTAGTACACAGGAACCAGTGTGTCCCGTTGCCTGGCAGGTGGGGGGCCTGGTATAGAAGGCCATCATGAGGTAACCCTCCCGAACAGCAGGCGGAGCCCTTCTCCCACCTCATTCCTACAATTGTTCATGACGACCAATCATGAGAGTACTGCATAGACACTATATCAACCACGGGGTGACAAACACAGATAAAAGCAAATGTACAAATAGCTAAGCAGAGTAACAGTTATTTTTCCTTGAGAAGGGTGCAGAAGAGAGGCATGGTTAACACTGTTAAGAGTGTTTTGTTTCTTCAGCACTGGGGACTGAACTCAGGGTCTTCACACTGAGCAGCAACCCGTCCTTCGTTTTTTGAGAGGGGGTCACATGAGGTCCCAAGTTGCTCATGGTGGGCTCAAACCTGTGACTCCCCTGCCTCAGGCTTTCAGAGTGCTGGGAGGACAGGTGTGTGCCACATGCCAGGCTTCAGGTGGCTTTTTTGTCACCTTGAGGATATTGTTTGGCTTCTGCAAAGGATGCTGTGGAAACCGTGAACATCCCAGAAAAGAAGCCATCCTCAGGGGTCATTCATGCAAGGTTTGAAATACCAAACTACCACCCAGCTCCTCTAAATTCCCAGGTCAACTCTTCTCCTGAGGCCTAAGGGTCATTCTTCCTCATTCAGGGTTCCTTCTTTCAGCTTCCCTGGGCTCGTGTGATCAAAGATTTAGTCTGTGACCACTGTACTCAATTTAGTGTTGGCCCAGTAAGGGAAAATTTCTTCAAAGAAACTGAAGACAACCCTAGCTGAGAAACTCAATTCGGAGTCCTCAGCTGACAAAGAGCAGAAGCCTATTTCCCACCGTGGGCTAATCACGCAGCCACGTTAGCACAGGAGGATTCTGAGGTGGAGGAGCAGCTAGTGGCAGAGTAACTGCATGTGGCCAAGCCCGGGTACAACCCACAGCAAGCAGGAAACGAAGAATTAAGGGACAAAGTTGCATAGAATGGTGCTTCTAGTGGTCTGAGATAAAGCCTAGAAATTCATTTTTAAAAAGCCTTCCACAGGATGGTTAGGGTCAGGCAAATTTGGGAAAACTTGAATTAAAAAGCTTAATTGCTTTTCAATTAACGTATTTATTAAGGACTCTGGGTCAGTGGTCTTTAATTACTCCCCAGAGTCCTAAAAGTCACCCAGGTGACCAGCAGACAGACAGGCAGATGGCCACGCGGGGTGGGCAGGAATCACTCCAGCACAGCGCCCTTCCTTTCCACTGGGGTTACTTTATATATGTACAGTGCAGTACAGTAGTGCAGAGTGCAGTAGGGTATTTTTTCACCGGAGACTCCGTATTTCTTCCTGGGGCCCAGCAGATGGTCTGTACACACTTTACCAGCTAAGGGCAGAGGCAAGGGGACTGTGATGAGAGTTCTTTCACTAAGATACTACTAAAGTTTAAAAACCAAGGCAGTAGATGAAGGTCGAAAGAAATAACAGCTCTGATGAACACCTGACAGCTGGGACTTTTCTGCCCGGACTGGAAGTTTAGCACATGAGAAAAACCAGGAAGAAAATTAGCAAGGTTAATGCAAAGCCAGCCTTTGATCTGCCTCCTACTGAGACAGTGAAGTGCAAGTGTCCTTTTAGTTGCTCTACATGATAGTACACGTGACCCCAACACAGAAATACTACACAGCTCCCTGTCAGGATGCTAAGTCAAGGCAAGAAAGCAAGAAGCACATAGGGCCATGGATTTAGCTCAATGGTTCCACCGCCTGCAAGTGCAAGGTCCTGAGTTTGATCCCCAGTACCAAAAAAAAGAGAAGCATGATCAGAATGACTTCGCCGCCCCACTGATTCAAATGTTAAACGTTGCTATGTTTTGAAAATGACGTTAAGGATGGAACATCCTAGACTTCAACATAAACATGGCAGGTTGAAAATCCTCCTCTACTTACACTCCTCCCCAAATCACCACGGAAAAGATGCGAAGGGCCTGGGTTGCTCAAAGGTTCAAACCCTGAAGGATGCTTGGACAAACACATGAGGTCAGAGCAACACACTCCGGAGGCTGAGGAGCACCGGGCACTCCCTTCCCTGCTGCACACAGCTCGGTGGGCCGGGGAGGGAGGTGCTTGGGGCAGGGCTGAGGACCCAGAGCAAGCAAGGCAACAGGACAGACAGGAAAAGACCCCTGGTCTCCCCTCTGCCTCACACGCAGGAGGTGAGCGACCACAGCAAAATCCCCTGGAAGCGCTGCCCACCCCAAGAGAAGATGGAGGCCACTGACAACTGCCCAGCCGGTCAGCCTGCAGGGAGCTCAGCCCTTGTTCTCGGGCCTTCTGGTCACCCCTGCAGCCTCCAGTATCAAATCCGGGCGGAGAACCAAAGCCAACCAGCACCTGAGAACTGCCTTCATATGAAAGAGAGAAACCAAAACTACCAACCTGGAGGAAAGAGACACTACAGAAAAAAGAAATTTTGCTTTGACAGTGCTAGGGATTGAACACAGGGGTAATCTGCCACTGAGTTATATCACCAGCTCTTTAAAAACATTTTTTTAATTTGAGAAGAGTCTCACTAAGTGTCCCAGGCTGGCCTCAAACTTACAATCCTCCTGCCTCAGCCTTCCAGTTAGCTGCGATCACAGGTGTGCACCACCACACTCAGCAAAACTTACATTACTATCATAACCCTGAAGCACGAATAGGAAGTATTTTTAAAGTTCAGAGGAGAGAAATCTTGGAAATATGACAGAAAGAATGAAAATTTCTAGAAGGTAGGAAAGTAGAGTAAATCTACTAGAAAGCAGAGCCAAAACGCAAATTAGAAAGTAAGAGAGAAAAGTGAAGTTAGAGGGCCCATGCCCAACTCCAAAGAGCTCCCCAGCGAGAGAAGGCGGCAAGCACTGCAGAGCGCCGGGGGCCCTGGGGCGGCCCGGCTTCCCATGCACAAGGCCCGGGCGCACCTCCACTCACAAGAGAAGGAAGGGAAAGGATAAGGAGAGGGAGAAAGCAAATGTTCCAGAGGGCTTCCCAGAGCGGAAGGGAGGCCGCCCAGGCCAGGAGCCAGTTCCCGAGGACTCGGAGGAAAACAGACCAGCAAGGCCACCACTCTGAGACTTCCAGTGGGGAACCAGAGCCAGGTGCGGGGCAGTGCCTAGGAACCCACCCTCAGGGCCTGAGGAGGAGCACTGCCAGCTCAGGGCCCACGGGCAGCTTGGGGAGACTTCGGCTCAAAGTATTCAGAGGGCCCTGGGGATGTGGCTCAGCGGCAGAGCACCCCTACCACAAAATACAGGTCACATACAAGGCCTCGTATATCTCTATCCCACGCTCCCCTTCTCAGGGAGCTTCCAGGGTACAGTGCGGCACACTGTGGGTGACAACAAAGAAGGCATGGCCAGAGATGCCGGGAGCACTTGCAGTCCCCCAGGAGGCTGAAGCAGGAGAACTGCTAGAGCGAGGGAGTGGAGACCGGCCTGCACAGCACAGTGAACCCTGGCCTCAAGCAAATCGAAGAGAATGAGGAAGAGGCAGAAGTGAGGCAAAGCAAACACTGGACAAAAGCAAAGGGACCTCCCGGGAGACGAAGACAGTGGGTGACAGCTGTGCCTCAGACGCCACCAGGCCACTCAGCCAGACCCACGAGCTGCGCAAAAGGCAACTGCGAGGACACCCGAGGAGTACAAAATTCTTGGTGGGAAAGTCAGTCAACTCCTGGACTCGGAGAAAAAATTAGAAAAGTAAACAAATGTGGGGGTGGGGGGTGGGGGACTCAACAAGCAACTGCACAGAGAGCAAAAAGAGGGGGGAAAAATGAATACCTAAGTCCTCATCACGCACCGATCATGGAAAGGCGACAGAGGGCACTGGAGATCAAAAGCTGAAGCAGCAACTCACGTTGCATTCAGTGGTGTGGCCAATGAACGCCGAAAGAACAGTATCGGAAAGCATGGAAAGCAGTTTCTCTCTGGAGAGAGCACAGAAGGAGAGGGAAGAGGAGCGTGGGCTCATCTTCCACACAACCGACAGAATTATTTGACTCAAGCGAAGCAGATTTCGTATACCTGAACTAGAAATGTACACCTATCACTTAAAAGCTTGCTGTAAAACCAGACTGCTGTCAGTCTACGTATAGTGCATTAAAATGTACACCTTTAAAAATAATTAATGAGAGGCACATTGATGCTAACTTTGCCTGTAAATTCTCCTCATGTATTATTAGTAACTGCAGCAACAGAAAGAACCAATCAATAATTCCTTTAAGTAACAAAAAATGACCAGACACAAAAAATAAATAAAATGTGAGACACATGCGAGCCAAGCAACTACTTCTGGAGGCAAGACATCAGCACAGTCAGGCAGTAAGGCCCACAGGGTTCGCAGAGCACAATCACAGAGCCAGGGTTCAAGGTAAGGCAGGGCAGGGCAGGGCACGGCATGGCAATGATTTGCCTTATCATAGTGTCCAAGCGTCTGCTTTCCACCAGGAAGTGGCGATGTCAAAATGTAATATTCCTCACTTGATTTTCAGTGAAGAAAACACTTATTTATAAAGCAGCTGGACTCAGGAAGACACAGGAATTATAGTCAATGAGGATACGTAATTTAGAACTCCGCCTTGGCTCAGCACGGAGAGAACAGCAGAGTTAAGTTGAACACATTTTTCCTTTGCCACCAGGACACATCTTATGGAACTAGGAATAATGCATTTTCTGTGCATGTGCATTAGCACGCATTTTATAGAAATGTGATTGTGCTTCAAAGCTGTGTGACATCTCAGGTTAGGACATGTAATATGCTTAAAGCTAAGGCAAACAAAAGCATCAAGTAATACCTTCTTACAGAGAGCTCGCAGCTTGAAAGCAGAAAAATGAAATGCAGAGTGTTCATAAAAGATTTTAGGAAAAAACTATTACCGTTTCCCTTAAGTCCAAGTTGGTTTGTTTCAATTTCGGTTACTCGGGGTAGTTACTAGGCTTAAGGCCTCTGTATAGTATTTACAAAAGGAAAACATTCCATTTTCCTGAAAGTCTGCAAAATGATAGCATTATTCACACATTGTCTCTACTACAGTGTAAGCACACTCATGGTTTCCAGGTGTATCATCCAAGACTCGGAGATGAGAACAGAGGGCTGGAATTAAACACATACCTTTTTGTTGAATGCCCAGATTTTGTCCCATTCCATGTTCACAACTGAACGTGAGGAGCCCTTGAAAAACAACAAAAAAGCATTTTAAGGACAAGGAGCATTCAGTAGAATTTTAGCATGCTTACAAAAAAAACACTCAATCCCAGCACTCGGGAAGCTAAGGCAGGAGGATCTCCATGAGTTCAAGGTCTGACTGGGCTACATAGTAAGTTCAAGGCCAGCCTGAATTATATAGTGAGGCTCTGCCTAAAAAAACAAGGAGCACAAGGACCCAAGTTCAATTCCCAGTACCAAAATAAATAAATAAATAAATAAAAATAAAAAAAACAAACAGGGCCGGGGATGTAGCTCAATGGCGCCGCGGCTGCCTTGTAAGTGCAAGGTCCTAAGTTTGTTCCCAGGTCCCGCACAAACCAACCAACCAACCCTCCACACATACTGCAAATTCACTTCTGCCGAGATCTGAAACTCAGTGTGTGTAGCATCACAGCTCGGGCACCGACTGGTCAGGATTTGGGGTCCGACACTGCACAGGGGAAATGCTGTGGCCGCCTCATCCACCTCTGGGTCAGGAGCTTGGCACACTCCCACCCCACCAGGATGAGCAGCACGGACCATACTCCCTTGAAAAGCAATCTCTCCCTTGTCTCATAAGGTGCAAGCAAGGGACAGAAAGCACAGCGGCAACAGTCGCTCAAGGGACACTAACAGATACTGAAAGCAGCCAGCGCTGGCCAGCAGCCAGGCTCACCTGAGCGGCGATGAACTGCTTCAGCCCCTCCACCGTCATGCCTCTCCGCAGCACTCCACGCACCGTGGGGAACCGTGGGTCGTCCCTAGGAAACACGGACATGTCTGAGCACCAAGGAGGCTGTCTACAGTGGTGCAGATGCAGAGAGCAGGAGGTATTTAGTAAATAACAAATTACATGCAGCTTGTTAAATATCCGGATGAAGAGCTCAAATACAGACTGAAGATACCTCAGTATCAGTGAGCCTAAACTCACGGAAAAGAAAGCTGCTTTTAGGCAAATACTGCAATAAAACGAATGCATTCTGGGAGAAAAGTACATTTTAAAAAGATACAATGATTACATTTTCCAATATGGAAACCCCATGCATTGATGCATTTTTATTTTACCTGTATTTAACACACATTCCAGGTCTTTACATATGACCGTGAGAATCAGCTAAGAGATGTGTGGACACCTGTCCAAATACACACAGATTATTAATATTCTGCAGGGGTACCTTTGATGAGACCTGGGAGAAACCTGCCTTTTATCAAATTCAGCTCCATGGTGAAACAGAACAGAACACCTATTCTGTAACATACCCTTAGTACAGCTAGTGTCACTATTTTGATACCAATATAAACTAATACTATATAGGTTCCTACTGATTAAGGTTAAAAACAGCTCTCAGACCTGTGAGCATGAGACCCGGTGAAGGCTTTGCGCACACAAGCCTGCAGCTGTCAGATCGCCTTCCTTTCCTGCTATCTATCTCAGGAAGCCCCTTGGTGTACTCAGGGCTTCAGAAACTGATCCTGATGCCGCGGCAGCGTGTGGCGCATCACCAGACCTCGAGGACCAAGTCCTAGCCCCCGGGGAGGCTGCAGCCCAGGTCGGGCTCTGAGGGACTTCGAGTTGGCAGCGTGAGGATGAGCAAGGATGAGTGCCGCGAGCCAGCAGCCTGCCCGGTCCCTGCAGCCCCACGCCCTCCCACTACGGCGCCCGCCCGCCCTGCCTCACTGCTCCGCCAGGCCCAGGTGACCCACACCTACCAGCCATCGACCAGTCCTTCGTGGACAAACCAAGTGAGCTTTCTCTTGGACAGCACTGTGTTGTTGAGATTTAGCCGACTGTACTCCCAGATGTATGGCTTTCTTATGCCCAAAGCCTCAATGACCCAGTAAAACTGCTCGTCCCGGTCATGGTACTCCGTGGTTCTCAGGGCATGAGTGACACCTTCGATGCTGTCCACTATGGGGCAGGCAAAGTCATACGTTGGATAAACACTGGAAAAACAAAGTGTGAAAATCAGCACGAAACATCTCTTCTTCTCAGATTAAGTATTTACAGGCAGTAATCCTTATCTAAAACAACTCTTTTTAAGAGCGCCTCAGAAGACAACAGGTTTTAATAGCCAGGTGTGGTGGCTCATGCCTGCAGTTCTCAGGAGGCCCAGGCAGGAGGCTTGGGAGCAGAAGCCAGCCTGTGCTACACAGTGAGTTCAAGGCCAGTGTGGACTACATGGTGAGACCTGTTTCAAACAAATAAAGAAATAAGTAGGTCTTATGACTCATAATACTCAAAGTCTCTCAAAACACTATTAGGGTTTGAAAAGTCAGCTGCCCACTCAATATTGAAACAAAAAAAGAAATTTGGGATTTAATACACAGTTGTATACTGGCTTGGAAAATTCTAAAGTCACATCTGTCATGGCCAGCATTTATCATGGTAGGAAGCCGTACACAGTGTAAGGGATAATTCTGAGGGAATCTGGCTTCTGAATGTCACTAGCAAGCCTTGCAGTAAAGCCCTAAGGGTCTTCAAAGTGCAGTTGAGAGCACTCAGGAAGAGTGTTAGTTGGGCAGGGTGGTACATGCCTATAATGCAGCTACTCAGGAGGCTGAGGCAAGAAGACTGCGCATTCAAGACCACCCCATGCAACTCAGTGAGACCCTGTTTCACAATTTAGCGGGGCATCTGCTCAGAGGGAGAGCACCTGCCTTGCTGCACAAGGCCGAGTTCAATCCCCAGTACTACCAAAACAGAATCAAGCGCTCAGCTGGGCGAAGTGAGTGGCACAGGCCTATAATCCCAGCTACTCCAGAGGCTGAGGCAGGAGAGGCGCAGAATGAGACCAGCTGGACAACAGCAAGACTCGGTCCCAAGCATTGAAAAACAAAGAACAAAAAGAACAGTGTTTTCCAACTCAAAAAAAGACAGGAAATTCTTAGGTGAACTAAAATCCCATTTAGGATGGAATAGTCTTAAAAACAACTTCTGCTTAAAATAATGTTACAAGTATGCAGTATGAATTTGAAATTTCTGTAAGTACTATATTACCGTGCTATGTCTTCTAGTTTTTAAAATAAAAACACTAAAAATAAAATAACATAAAGCCACTACTGCATTATGATTTGCAGTCATTTGACACTAAAAACGTATGTCCAAAATCCCTTTCCAAAGCATTCAAAGTATTTGCTTCTTCAAGTAAGGAGCAATCACCGTGAGCCAAGGATGGACATGCATACACGCAAACCCTGGGCACACACGTCTGTTTTGTATGGGGACAACTCTGCACCCCCAGTTTAAAGAAGGCTCTATGAGCCAGGCAGGCTATCATTTGAAGGAATTTTACCCACCAATTACTTCAAAGGTTATAACCCAGCACTTGTATATGTAGACTTTCTTCTTCAAAATATTGAAAAAACATATTCTATAGTTTACTACATAAAATAAGGATTTGGGGCAGAGTGGAATCTATAGAGAGAAAAAAAACCTGGCACGTGCAAGGCCTTGGGTTTAATTCTTAGCTCCAAATAAACAAAAACAAAAAACACAAGCTCCATTAATTTGAAAACCTAATCAAAACGTGAAAAAAAATGCACGCTACTTCTTTGTATTGGCCACATCTCAGTAATTTTATACTCTGACTGTGAGAAGTCAACTTGCGCCCAGCAAAGCATGTCTATTGAGAGGCGAGACATGCTTCCATCTAAACACCTGATCTTGGGCCAGGGATTTAGCTCAGTGGTTCAGATGCCTGCCTCATGAGCGCAAAGTCTCGAGTTTGATCCCGGGTACCACAAAGAAAAAAAGGAAAGAAATATCATCTTAAGTGGCAAGTGAGTGAAGACCGCTGAAAGGCCACAGGGCCAGGTACCGTGCGGACAGGCAGGGCGCCGTGTCTGTCTGAGTCTGCATCTGCCCTGAGTGCACAGAGGGGATGGAGCAGGCAGATGGGGAGAAGCACACTTACTTGTATCTACTTCCGGTTCTTGGGTGCGGCTGGATTTTGCAGCGATAAAGGGTGGGGTCCCTCATACACCCATTGTTACTACTCATGTCAATTTTTGCTCTCAAACAACAGGACTGACCGAACTGGCTCCCTTTTTTCATTTCTTCCCACATTTGCAGATTCTTTTCAACAGCTATAAAATGACAGTTACATGACAGCTTATGTAAGGCATTACTGGTTTGAATTAAAATTACTTAACAGTCTTATGATTCGAGCCAAGTCTTCCTATTACACTGCAAACACACTCCACTGGTTTAAAAGCACACTGGTTCTGGGATGTGACACCAAAGGCAGGTCCTTAGGAGAGCAGCCTGACAGCACATCCAGGGAGCTTCCTCCCGGCATGCCGAGAAGAGCAGCAGCCAGCACGCTCCCCTGCCACAGCCTCGGCTCAGGGCGAGGACACACAGCCTTTGGCGCCGCCCAGGCCTGCTCTTCCACCCCCCCCAAACTCAGCAGTGCCTGTCAAGGAGAAGTGTTCTCTTCCTCTGCCACCTCAGGCCCAGGGGACAGAGCATCTGGCCCAGCCCTTGGGGCCCACAGGCGTTGGCGCTGCAGCCCGTGCCTGTCTGAAGAACACGGCTCGGGCTGAGAGCCTGAGCCCGTGGGCTCCCTGAAGGTCCCCTCGGTCCTCCCCAGGAGAAGCAGCCAATTCGTGGATCGAAGAAAATGAGAGCTGACAGAAAACAGACGTGATACAGGAAAGAAAAGAAGTACTCTTCTCTCCCCAGTGACTGCGGTCCTACCTACATGAGAACACTGAGCGCCTGCCACATGCAGAGAAGAAAGAACTGTTAGCAGTGCTTTTCTAGGGAACCTTCTGAAGACCCAATGGCATTTCATCTGCTCTCAATCAAACGTATCTACAACTCCACAGGTTAAGTATCTTTGAAAAGGAGATAAAAAAGAAAGGCTTACTGTAACAACCTGATGTGACAGTCAAGATTTAAATACAGGGTGGAAGTTCTGACAATATAATTACAGAGCGAGGTGCCCAGTTTACAAACCCAGGAGGTAAGTCAGAAACAAGAAAGGCTGCTTTTAGTCACGGGACAGTTCAGTGATACAGAGTAGTACTGAGACTGGATATCATAGCCACATGTACCCACACACTGAGAGAAGGCTTGGGTGCTAACAGCATTGAACATCAGACATTGAAGAAATGCTAAGTATAGGCAGGGTGGAGCAGGCAAGTGATCACAGCACTCAGGAGGCTGAGGCAGGAGGATCACCATGAGTTCAAGGCCAGCCGGGACTACATAGTGAGTTCAAGGCCAGCCTGGATTACTAAGCAAAAAAAAAGCTAAATATTTAAATTAAAGAACTACAAAATGTCTCAAGGAACTCTTCAGATGAAATAAATGCATGCAAAAGACTAAGGAGGAAACTAAGTAAGGGCAAGGAGACTTCCTGGGCAACTGTGATTAAAAAGCAGTAAGAATGTGGTCCGGGGATTTAGCTCAGTGGTTTTGCCGCCTGCTGCACAAGTGCAAGGACCAGAGTTTGATCCCCAGTACCAAAAAAAAAAAAAAAAGAGCAGTAAGAATATAAACATGAATAAGGAAACAGATTTCTAGGAGATGAATTAACATGAATTGATCTCAAATCAGCATCTTTCATAAAAAAGGAATCATATACCCACAGGAAGCAGAACACAAGAACGTGAATCAAGACGTCCAATTCTAAATGTGCCTTACAGTTGCTTCTATGTCTGGATTCCACCCTCTGTTCACGTTCTGCTTTCATCTGCTCCGCGGGAGTATCGTCCACATAAGCCTTCCCTTCTTTAATCAGCTTCTCTGCATATTTCATGATAGTTTCAAAATGATCTGAGGTATAAGTAAATTGATCTGGCTTGATATGCAACATCGCAACATCTTCCAAGATAACCTGCAATGAGAAATCACAACCATCAGTGCATCTTTTATACTTTCTTACGCGTTTTTAATCCATGACACTGAGTTTTGAGCAAATGTAATAAAACCTTATTAGTCTTAAGTAGCCTGAAAATGGTTGTGGAGGTTGTGTGATACAAGGTCAGAAAAGAAAAGGCTACTTATGATATCAGGTTTCCAATTTCCAGCTGAGAAAGCTAATCCCAGGACAGAGCTTTCCATTTGCTCTGGAAAGGCTGGTGATTGATGGTCGACCCGACAATCATTTACCCCCTCTTTAAACACATCACAGTGCCTCAAATAAACAGGATATAAGAGGAGAAAAATCACATTTCCCCCTACTGATTCAGTGTTTGTTTCATTCATAAACTTAAGACCATACAAAAAAAGGAAACCTGCCTCCGGTGAGACTGTTACTCATAGGAAGTGTTTAGATAAATTCTACAATAATTACAGAAGAGAAAAATAATTCTTTCTGTTATGGGAGTTCCGTATTTCTTGGCTGAGGCCACAGATATGGAACATACAGGTGGGGTGAAAGAAGCAGCCATAAAACAAAATTTATTTTGTAAATAAAGGTACCAGATCATGGTATGCTGAAGGTACAAACGTACCTCTAATTTTAATAATTAACTTTTCTGGAAAAATGTCATCACTACACTTTTAATTACCTTCTCAAAATCTTCCTTTTCTTTCTCAGGATTTGTGTCATCAAATCTCATGATCAGTTTCCCTTTAAAGTTAACCTGGTAGTGCTGGTTCAGGAGAGCAGCTTTTGCATGCCCAATGTGTAAGTAACTAAAACAAAAACATTTCACAGAGACACTCATTAACATGTTTTAACTAAATACTTAGATCTCACCTCTTTGAGGAGATGAGAACTAAACCCAACTTCTAATTGGTACTCCAGTTGCATTATTAAAACATCTGACTCTGAGAGAGACAGAAGGGTACAACATTTATAAAGTAACCATAAGAAGCTACTTCATACATACTCTCACAGAGGAACGAGGTGTTTATATACATCACAACTTAAGAAGTCTTTCTTTTTTGCAAGAGGAAGTCATTTAACGAGAGGAAAACTTCACAATGCTACCTGAAAGCCTATCTTTACTCAGACTGGATGCTACTGGGAACCGTAAGTCTCCCTGGGTCCCACTGGAGACCAGCACCGCCGAGAGACCACTGTCATGTGATGACCAAAACCGCAAGCACATGAGAACCCAAAGCCCAAGAACAGCAACATTACTTCTCTAAGCTTCAGTTTTCTCAAATGCCAGTAAAAAGGTCTTAACTAAATGATTTCAAAGGTCCCACACAGCAAGCACCAACACTCCTCAGGTCAGGGTCTATGAAAACAGCGCTCTGCTCCCTGGGCAGGAAAGGATTCTGAGGGGAATGGAGGAAGGTTTCAGCAAAACACTCCCTTTCGATGCAGTGGGCAGAAAGCAGCGTGCTGCACACCTGCTGCTGAACATGCACGTGACTGGGCAGAACCGAGGCATGAACCCTTTAAAGGACGAGCTCCCACTGATAGGTATCACTGTCAGAGGACAACGCCAGGAGGAGTCACATGAAGACAGAAAGCCGGCGCATGCCTGTAATCCCAGCTACTCCGGCGCAGAGGCAGGAGGATGGAGAACTAGAAACCAGGCTAGGCAATGTAGCAAGACTGTCTCAGATAGAAAGGAATAAAGAGCCGGGGACACAGCTCAGCGCTCAAACAAGACAGCTGCCCAGCTCCATGGCACCTATCATCTCCGCTGATACCAACACGGGAGGGGAAAGACAACACCCTTAGAATCGATCCATGTTAGAAATCTGCATGTCACCCCAGAAAAATGATTCGAGAAGGGCTGATATGCACGAGCTAAAGCAGACAAGTACAATGTAAGGTAGTTAAGGCTATTCGAAATGTTTTGAATAAAACAGAACTACATGTGCTATGCTACAGGAGATCTTCAAACAGAAAACAGACATCACGGAAAAGCTAAAGAAATCCCAAAAAAGTATGAAATTAAGTTAAGAATAATAACATATCAAGCTGGGCATGGTGGCTCAGGCCTATAATTCCAGGACTCTGGGAAGCTAAGGCTGGAAGTTCAAGCCTGGCCTGGGCTACACAGCAAGATCCTATCTAAAAACAAAAACAAAACAAACAAAAATATATCGGTATTGGCTCATTAATTATAACAAATGTACCATATTGGTAAGAGAAAATACAGGGCACAACATATATAGGCAATTTCTGTACTATATCTGAAACTTTCTGTAAATCTGAACTCTTCTAAAATTAAATGTTTATTTTAAAATAAAGGACTGTGAGTTCTCAGAAAGAAAAATACGATGTATAGTTTTCACTGAACATGCGACACTCAACGCACTATCCCTGTTGTCAAGAAGGAGAAAGACCAGCTCTGCTGCCCCCCACGGCTGGAGCGCTAACGTGCTCAGCTTCACGTACATAAACTAACTGAAGAGAGCGAGAGGGGGCTGGGGTGCAGCAGGCAGGGGTGCGGCTCGGTAAAGAACACAGGCTCAGCTCAGCACACATGAACCCCTGGGTCCAGTCTCCAGCACAAGACACAGCGATGACGAAATCAAAACAAACGTCACACTGAAATGAAGACACGTCTGAATGTGAGATGACGTGTGTGTGTGGTTCCAACGACTCCAAAGCTCAAGAACACAGGGTGAGGACGGAGAGGTCTCCAAGATGCTGACAGGCAGCCTAAACGGAGCAGCTAAAGAGGGTAGGGCTCCTGCACGCTGGTGAGCAGGGATCCTGAATCAGGCTCCGGACACACGACAGGCGCACAGGATAGGTTACTGTAGCCGCAGAGACGCTACAGCCACATGCTGTGGGTTTAGATCTGCCACGTTACTATAGGGGATGGCTCAGTTTCTGAGAACACTTGTAAGACAGACACAGTAACAGTGCCTTCCTTCCTCACAGTGCCATCAGGGCTAATGAGGTACCGCCTGGACAGAGAGAGTGCTACACACACGTCGGCTGAGAATGAAAACAGCAAGCCGGGTGTGGGGCCACAGGCCCGTAATCCCAGCACCCTGGGAGGCAGGGCAGAAGGACCGAAAGTTCAAGGCCAGCCTGGGCAGCGCAACATGACCCTGTCTCAAAAGTGCAAGAGGACCGAGGATTTAGGTCAATGGTTCCACCACCTGCCTTGCAAGCGCAAGGACCCAAGTTTGATCCCCGGTACCAAAAAAAAAAAAGTGCAGGAGGCCCTGGGTTAAATCTCTAGCTTGCGTGCATGTGTCTCTCATATATACAGGCAAAGATGAGACGAGCCTTCTGCCTTTCATCTACACAAAGAAAAATTAAAGAACACTTTAGCAATGACAGGGGATATGATCAAAATGATGAACTCGATTATTGATTTATATACCAAATTCCGAAACTGTAACAGGGCCGTTAAATCAGTACAGATAAATACATTTTTCATTGTAAATGTATGAGCATGAGGGGCTCACTGCTGAGAAATAATGGTGACAGAAATACAAGAAGGTTCACAAAGGGTGAATGGTGCAGCTGTCAGTAACCACTATGTCAACGAGTGGCTCTTAGCAAACCCTGAAGGCTGCTACTCACAAGGACGACAGCTCTCTCACCACTGCACAGAACAGAATGCTGGGCAGCCAGGCCCACAGTGAGTGCCATTTATGGCTAACCTTACTCAACTTCCCATTACTCAGTGATCGCTAATTTTCCAGTCATTAATCCTCTTTCATTTCTTTCCTGTGAGTTTGAACTCAGCCTGGGCTGCACAATGAGTTCAAGGCCAGCTTGAACTCCACAGGGACAGCATGTCTCCCAAAACCAAAAACAACAACAAAAAGGAATGTAAAATTTGAAATTAAACTAAATTTGGGAAAAGTCATCTCCTTTACAGAATTCTAGCACACTCTGCTCTCGGCCACATTTCCAAGTGGGGCCGACAGCTGCAGTGAGACACATGCCTTACACGGATGGTGCTGGAAGGCCGGCTGTGGAGCCTGAGCGAAGTGCTGCACGCAGTGGACAGGTGTCCAAGGCTGATGCCAGGCTCTTGGAAGGCCAGGCAGAGCCTGGGCCAGCCCTGGCTTGTTACCAATGGCCAGATCAGTTATCCAGATATTCTATGCCTGCCAGGAGTTACAAGGGGTAGGGGCCGGGGATGCGACTCAGTGGCCCCGCGCCTGTCTCACAACACAAGTGCAAGGTCCTGAGTTCAAGCCCCGGTATGGGGAGGGGGCGGGGAATACAGGGAGGTGGAAACCGGCTAAGAATGAAAAGAACTAAGTAGGTCTTTTCAGGACTCTCCTTCATTTATTTGGGAAAAAAATCCCTACCATGATGTCTACTATTAATTGAAAGGATTGCTAAGAGCATAAACAGAAACCTTTAGTAAGCCCCCAGATCTCAAAATGTATGTAAAAATTAAGCCTTTTTATTTATGGATACCTTATTTATATTTAAAATGTTTTTTTTTTTCCTTTCCCCAGTACTGGGAATCAAACTCAGGACTTTGTGCTTGCAAGGCAACCGCGGCGCCACTGAGCTAAATCCCTGGCCTTTAAAATGTTCTATTTTTGGATATTTTATTTGCATTAAAAATTGTGGGAAGGCCCAGAGGTTTAGCTCAGTTCTGTTGCCTGCCTCGCAAGTGCAAGGTCCTGAGTTTGATCCCCGATACTAAAAAAAAAAAACAAAAAATTCTGGGATGAAATTAAAATGTTAAGCTGGCTCCGGTGCACACCCCTGTAATCCAACACTCTGGGAAGCTTAGGCAGGAGGATCACAAATTCAAGGCCGGCCTGGGCAACTTAGCAACTCAGTGAGACCCTCTCTCAAAATAAAAGGGGTGGGTGCTCACCTGTAATCCCAGCACCTGGGAGGCTGAAGTAGGAGGATCACTGGGAGTTTAAGGCTAGTCTGAACTACATAGTGAGACCCTGTCTCAAAAAACAAAAACCAGCAACAACAAAACTGCAAAGACTTTGGGTTCAATCCTCAGTACCTACAACCAAAAAAAGTGTCTCATTTCATTAGTGAACTAAAAGTGCTCATTAAATAAATTAACATTAGATATTAATAATTAAGAAACTGAGATGTTTAGAATTTTAACATTTGCCGGGGAGATACTACTTATGTTCTTCTATACCAACTTACTAAAAATATTTGACAGCTGCTTTAAAACTTGCCAATACAATGAGTTGTAAGGACGGGCCGGCGCCTTACCCACTGGCCTCTGGAGGAAACCTCACGGTGACCTTCCCCATCTCTGCGCCTGGAAGCTCCACGAACTTCCCAACATCTTGCTTCTTCTCCGAAGCCTGAAAGACACAACATCCACAACACCGAGTGATGCAGCGAGGTGCAGGTTACATCCACTCACCCGGCGGTACCATCAGGTGCCAGGCATCACAACGATGGCCCGAACTCTGTCCCTGGACTGGAGGCCCCACAACAGGGAGGAAACATGGCAGGCACTTGGGTGCCGGCAGGGCGCTAGCGGAAGGACGCAGCAGGACAAGCAGGAGGCAGGAGGGAGAAGCTGCAAGGGGTAAGCAGCAGGCTGGGCCCTGAGCAGCATGCAGTGGTGCCGCAGGCGAGTCCAAGGTGACAGGATTTAACTGAGCAATGAAAGAAGGCAATGAAGCCTCTGGAAAAGCAGCATCAACAGGGGGGGACAGAAAGCCAGGCTCTAGATATGAGAACAAGAGGAACTTCTATCAGTGAGATGCAAAGACTGGTGAGGGACAAGTGAAGATTTTTAGGAAAACAAACTGAGGAAGCTGTGGCATCTTAGCTAAGCAGACAGCAGCCGGCAAACTTCACTGCACCAGAAAACCTTCAATAAACCAAACTTTGACTACATGTGACTGGTATGTAAAACTAATCCACGCAGGACAACTATCTGGGGGTGAGGACCCTCCCACCATGCTCTCTATGCTGCTATGCCTGAAGGGCCAACAGAAGACTGCAGAATTCCAGGACTCAGTGGTCCAAAGACCAGAGAACAGCGCCCGGTGAGGTGGTGCACACCTGTAATCCCAGCACTGGGGAAGCTGAGGCAGGACAACTGCCCCAGGTTTGAGGCCAGCCTGGGCTACAAAGTGTGTTCAAGGCCACCTCAACCACATAACGAGACCTTGTCTCAGAAAAAACCAAAAAAATCCAGAGAACAGGGGCTGGAGACGTGGTTTAGTGGCAGAGCACTTTCCTGACATGTGTGAGTTCCCGGTTTAAAATCCCTAGTGCAGCAAAGAACAAAAATGAAAACAAGAGAACAGAAGATTCAGGAAGAGGACTGCCCAGCTCACTGAGACTGCAGGTGGGGTGCAGCTTAGCGGTGAGCGCATGCTCGGCACAGGCAAGGCTGGAGCTCTGCCAGGTGCTGTAGCCATGGCCATCACTGCAGCAGCCACTAGGAGGCTGAGCTGGGAGGATTTCAAGTTCAAGGCCAGGCAGAGGAACTTGGCAATGTCCTGACTCAAATACTCCCTGGATTCAATCCCCAGTACAAACCAAGACTTCACAGTGGTGGATTCTAAAAAGGTCCTTTTCCATTTACGAAAAGAAAATAAGCTTTAGGAGGAGAAATTATTTTTCTTTTGAAACCTGTGGCCTCGGCTAGACTGACGGGTCAGGGTTGCAAAGAAAGAAGGTAGCAGCTCACCGCCTGGGTCTTGCTGGCTGGGACACCCCACTTGGCACTGACTGACTGGAAGACTCGCTGGGCTTCGAGGAAGCTGAACCAGCGCTTCACGTGCACCGGGCCTTTGCTCTGCGTTGCCTCTTCTTGCCACGCAGCATTTCCTGTCAGCAAACACAATTTCAAAACCAATCAATAAATGTGCAGAGTTAAAAGTCAGTCATTATTAATTTAAGTAAATAAGATTAGCTTAGTTGTGCTTCTGCAGTGAAATTTTTAAAATGTACGTATATGCTGAAATGCTTGCTGGTATTCTCATGTTTTACCGAAATGAGTTCACTTCCTGTATGACAGTCTTTAATACTAGATCCTGCAGGACACTCTCGAACACTTACCTCCTGCCACATACTCAGTGTAAGGTCAAGACTTCATTTCACAATTAAAGGGAATTTGAAGTACATCACTAGAGAACAATCACCCACAGCCGGGTGTGGTGGCGCACACCTGAAATCATGCACTCTGGGAGGCTGAGGCAGGAGGACGGCAAGTCTGAGTCTAGCCTGGGTGCTTTAGCAAGACTCTGCCTCGAAAATAAAAAATGAAAGGGCTGCAGATGTAGCTCAGTGTGAAGGCCATGGTTGGTTCAATCTCTAGTAACATAAAAAAGAAAGTAATAACAACATACCCTAAGGCTGCACTAAATCAAAGCCTTCATACACCAGAGCTGTCTCCTGCGTAATCCCGTCAAGGGACCTCACTAACCTGAGTGGCCCCTCACTGCTCCCCTCCTGAAAATACGCTCGCGCAGGCTTCCTGGGGTCACCCCAGTGTCCCTGCGCTTACTGAGAACCACGCATCGGTCCAACTCCATGCCCTCTGTCCTCTTCACCACGTGACCCCATGTCTCGATGGCCTAACTTTACTCCACAATCATTTACTCTGGCATTTCCCCAGGGAATCTGGAGCTCACGGCTAAGCTACATCTATCTTTCCTTCCTACCAAAAATTCCCTTTCCCCCAAACTGTTACCTTTACCCACTCAACTCAGTATGACTGTGGGGCCTATTTGCAGATTTCTGGAACTTTTAGAGATGGGGGGGTGCATGCATTACCTTGGCTGTGCTGACAGCTCCACAAGTGTGCAACGCGGGACTTCCCAGATTACTTATTCTCAATGCACGCACTTTGGAATGTCAATTATACCTCATGAAAAGTTTGTTGTTTTTAATGTAACTGGCTTTCCAAGCTGGGGAGAAAGCACTCTCATCTCTTACAAACTAGCTGTAGAAGAGGAAGCATGACCTCCCGGGAGGACCCTCACTCCCACTGAGAGTGAAGACAGAGAACAACAGCAGCTCGAGGAGAGGGGAGCCTTCGAGGAGACAACCCCCAGGGGCAGCAGAGGACAGGGACCTCCTGCAACACAGGGTCACTTCTCTGTGAGTCACTGCCTGGGTCACTGCCTGAACACACAGCCTGGTCAAAGCAGGTGGTGAATCTTTATACTGTAAAGAAATTATTGTACAAGACACTCTGCCCTAGTGCCCTCACTTTGAACACACATTTCCTACTATTCCTGCCACTTTCTGAAGCAGCTCCAGAAGTCCTGTATCATGTCTTTGCAAGGTGTGATCAAAAATATGGTGAATGTTGCTGCCAGATGCCACTGAACAGAAAGGCAGGCTGGCAAAACACCTCAGTATGGTCTCATCCATCTTTTTCTTTTTCAATTTATTTTTTGTACTGGGGATCGAACTCAGGACCCAGTGCCTCCCAGGCAGGTGCTGTGCCCCTGAGCTACATCCCCGGCCCTCATCCATCTCATTTGCTGGATCTGGTACCATATGACTTATGACTCATCCCAAATTCAAAATGATTATGAAAGGTAAACATGTTGAATCCATTCAGGACATCAAGACCACAAGACAGCACAATTAAAGATACTCAGGAAAGAGGACTCTCAGATCTGCTTCTGAATGTGGCAAGAACAATGGAATCAAAGCAATAGGGAGCACTGTGAGGGGGATTCATGGCAGTGCGTCTTTTACTGCATGTTTCGGCTTCTATCCAGAAGTCCCCCAAAGGCTCATGAACTCATAGGTGGGGCTTCTGGGAGTGACTGGATCATGGACATGTGATACTGGATTGGTTGATGGAATGGTCCAGCACAGTTCCGGGTGTGGGTGATGGACTTACTGAAGAGGGAAGCCCCACCCTGGGTGTGGGTGGCACCAAAAGGCTCACAACCTGGATGGAACAAAAAGGGAAAGAAGGAAGTTGTGCTGCCTCCTGCCTGCCACACCACGAACTGTTTCTCCTCTGCTGTGCTGCCCTGCCTGGGAGGCAGCGACTATGGACTGATACCTCTACAAACCGTGAGCTAAAATAAACCTTTCTTCCTGTAACTTGTGAGTGCTGGGTATTTTGTCCCAGCAACAAGAAAGTAAGTATGATGCTGTATTTGTAGATCACACCTCACATATACATATGCAGAGGCATACATCTATACACTTCTGCATGCACACACAGACATGAATGTACTTCTTACCCAGTAAAACAGAGTAAAATGGAGTATCTTAGGCACAGTGGTACATGCCTGCAGCCTAAAGAGGAGGAAGAGGAAAGGGAGAGAGGGAGAGAGAGAAAGAGGAAGAGAACAGAGTGTTTTACAGGGATTATTGGCTGATACCTTTTAGGGCGGCCCACACACAAAAATCTGCTAAGGTCAAGGAGTTTCCAACTAAGAATGTCCTCAGAGACAGGCAATGATTAAGCTCGTTGACTGCAGAAGCAAACGAAGCACAGGAAGCCAATTTTGTAGCACTAAACTCCAGCCAGTGATCAATCTGTGAATACAAAGAAAAGAAAGGCATTCTAGAACACAGCCTTCAAAAACAGACAGAGAAATGGTGCTACTTATCTGGAGCAAGAGCACCATCACTACATGACTCCCTTCCTCAGTGAGAGCCTGACATTTCTCCTCTCAAATTACAGAATTCACCATCATGTGGAAGTGACTGGTTCCCTGGGACGTAAAACGGCACTTACATAAATGCCACATTTTGTTGATTTTTCTACGCTTCGGGGGAGGTGACAAATAGGCGATTCGTGACAGGAGAAGATACACTGAGAAGTGACAGAAGGAAGGAAAGGGTCACCAACTGCCCTAACCCAAAAGGTGGCACCTGGCCAACCCGCTTCACCCTCTCAGAGTATTAAAAAGCCAACACTTACAACCAACTCTTTGTACTCTGAATTTCAGGAAGTTTATGAAAATTGGAGAATACCAATGGGTAAAACAACAGCCCGGAGCAGTACTGAAGGTCCATCTAGTACTTAGCCACTGCTCGACCACAGCTCAACACCGCACTGTGCTCCAGACCCTGTTCGTCACCTGGCTTCACCCTCAGTCCTCAAAGGCCACTGCCCTCTGTGGAAGCTGGGTGAGATGACCCGTGTCCAGCTACGAAACTCTAGGGCTCCCAGAGGACGAAGCATGCACCAAGTGCACCTAAAGTACAGCTGGTCTGGGAAAACATTCAAATGTAAGAACTATAAAAAGATTTTTTCCTGCCATGCTGGGGACCAAACCCAGGGTATCACGCACACTCTGCTGTACCACTGAGCTACAACCCTGGCCCTAAGAATTGTTGTAAAAACTAAGGACAGGACGAACATTCTTTAATTTGTTCTATAACTAACTCTCTGTTCTTATGCTTAAGTAGAATATTCTCGTAAGAGGATAAGGTTCCAAAGAGCCAGAACCAGAGCCAGGCGTGGCAGTGCATGCCTGTAACGCCCTCCACTCTGGAGGCTCAGGCAGGAGGGCTTCAAGTGCAAAGCTGGCTGGGAACTCAGTGAGACTCCATCTGAAGAACAGAGGGCTGGGGTGCAGCTCAGTGTAGAGTGTGGACCTGGCCTGCGCAAGGGCCTGGGTGCAGTGTCTCACTGCACAACAGCGGCAGCAAAACCGGAAGCACAGATGCACAGCAGGAAGTGCTCGCTGCTTACCTCAGCGTGTTCCATCACGTTAGCGCCGTACAGCCCGGCTGTAGCTGCAACTCGAGCCAGGTAGCGAAGTATGGAATATACGTCTGTGAACGCCACGTTTCTGGAAACAAGCAGAGTTGAGATATCAGGAATGCTCTAGCTAACCAGGAAAGGAATAAGACATAAGGTAACATGTAAAAGTATAAGTCCTAATATATTTAACATTCTTTTTTTTTTTTGGTACCAGGGATCAAACTCGGGTCCTTGCGCTTGCACAGCAGGCAGCGAAACCACTGAGCTAAATTCCTGGCCTAACATTCTTGCTAGTAGAGTTTAAAAAATAGATCTGGTATTCTTTGTTTCTATCAAATGGCAATTTGTTCTCAAAATATCCAGCTAAACCTACCATTCCCCTTCACAGCAAACATTCTGTAGTTTTTTCACCTTTCTTTTACTTTTTACATGCCTGTTTAGTGATGGAAATATAAACACATAACTGGGGTATGGGTAAAAACACCAATTCAAAATAAAGGCCAAGAAGCCAAGGATATACTGCCATAACGAGGCTCGTGCCAGGCACAGTGGCTCACATATGTAATCCTGCCACTTTGGGAAGCTGAAGCAGGAAGATCACAAGTAGCAAGACTTTGTCTCAAAATGAAAAAAAAGGAAAGCGTTGAGGATGTAGGTCAATGTGAAGATACTGGGTTCAACCCCCAACATTAAGAAAAGAGGCTAGTTTTATCCACGTTCAGGTAATGGAGGCAGCTCAAATCCCATCAAAACTACCACAGCCAGGAACGACTGCTGCTCCTGCAGTCCCAGCTACTCAGAAAACAAAGGCAGGAAGATTATGTGAGTTCGGATGTTCCAGTTCAGCCAGGGTAATTTGGCCAAACCCCATCTCCAAAACACCCAGACAAACACTATCACAACTGTTTGGTTAAAAAGCCTTCACAAAACCATAAAATAAAAGAGAACAAAGACACAATAGCAATAAAATTTCAAATGCAGATCTGAAAAACTGGAATTGTAAGTAGAGAACATCAAAAAAACCAAACCAATTTCAATTTCAGATTCTCCCATAGACTGAAAAGATCAATGGGACCAGTATCTTTGGATGACAGAGGGAAGTGGGGCTAAAATACGGACTGACTAAGAGCAGGTTTCAAGAAAACACAGGTTCTCCAGGCCCCGTTCTGCTAGGCTTTCCTCTTATCTACCTCTAGCAAAACTGGAGGTGTTCTCTACAGAGCACAGCAGGTCTCCTCTGGATAATCTCGTCATTCCGAGGGTGAAGGAACCAAGGGCAGAAGCACCAGAGGTTCCCACATGAACAGTTCAGCCAGACTGCCCTTGAGTAAAGCACAGAACTTAGCAGCTTTAATTTCTCACTCTAAAAAAAAAAAAAAAAATCCAAGCAGGGGTTACCAGCCATTTGAAGAAAGCCTTTAACAGACAGTGACCAAGATAAATCAAAAATATAACTTGGATAAATCAGGGAAAACTTCAAAAATAAATGCAAAAACTTCCAGGATGGGCACGCTGATGCACACCCGAGCCCTACACCGCCGAGGCAGGAGGATGGATGGCGAGTTCCCCAGCCTGGGGTACTGACACAGGGAGCTGAGGGCCAGCGTGGGCCATATGGCAAAAGCCTGCCTAAAAAGCCAAAAAGAAGTAAGAAAATGAAAGAAGAGAAACACAAAAAGCACTGGGGAAGGCAGCCCAGCGGCAGGAGCGCTTCTCTAGCACATGTGTGATCCTGGGTTCCATCCCGTACCCCATACACCCCCAAAATTCTAAGTCTCTTTTTCTCCAAATGCTGACATTCTATACTGTAGACTTACCAAATTTATTTGTTTCCTATTATTGTTGATTTTAACTGCTTCTAATTTTCCACCAGCATAATTATTATAGAATGAAAAGCCTTAGGAATAAAGCCTTTTCTACATTCCCAGTTCCTTTTAAACAAATCATGAGTGGAATCAGATGGCTAGCTGACAAGCAGAAACCTCTGTACTGTGTCCTCTTTCAGGATGATGAAGCATAATTCTTTCTAGGAACAGCCTCCCTGATTTGCAAGTGAAACAAGCATACAGTATCTAATGCTGAATATTTTTACATGCTGCTCAGTACTGGAAATACAGATGCAAAAGCACTTACTCAGAAACACGAAGAACATTCTCTTTTCCTCCTTCCACAGAAATGCTGACATCCTCCTTCACGTGCTCTGCCGCCAGCAAGGCTTCTGAAAGGCCAGGATGAGAAGATTTCTCTTTAAAACCATGTAGGAATTGTAACTCGAGTTACAAAGCAGTAAGGGTGAGTCAACAAGCTAATAGTAAGGCTGCAAAGTACAAACGTTTTTCCCAGCAGCCCACAGACAGGAAGTCTAGTCTCTTGTCTTAGAGAAACAATAAATCAGAATCCACCATTAGCACAGTCTGCTTCTTCCAGTGCTCAGCTTCCAGTATGTGACACTAAAATGCATCTTTTCCTCCCTCAGAGGACAGGAAGCAAGCAGAATAAGGCCTTGAATAAAAACCTGGTGCTGGAAGGATTACTATACTGTAGGTACTATGCTAAATGCTTTACAATCATTATAATTTTCATCTCTATAGGAATCTCAAGGAATAATTCCCTTTATTCCCATTTACTAAAGAGGAAGCTGGAGAGGTTAAATGGTCAAGCCCAAAGCCGCTGGCTAACAGATGGCAGTCAAGTTTGAAGCAAGGCCTGAAGTGGTCCAGACCTCAAATTTTAAAACATGGTGTAACAGCGCCTCTTAAAATGTAACGTAACAAAGTTTACTAAATCGATCCATTAATCCTCTGTTCCCTAATTTGGTTAAGATAAGCACCAAATACTGGCACTCATTTCTAAATACAACACTCACAGCAAGCACAAAATAACCCTGGAAAACCTGCCTGTGCTGCAGACTCACGGTGTGGAAACCTGCCTTGAAACGAGGTTCCCGCTGTCACAGGACTAAGAATTGGGGCCTTAAAGAGGAGTCTAGCTTTTGAGGGCTCAGCCCTCCTGTATGGACTAACACCGGGGAGTGGGTTCGCCTTTTCCTTCTCATGCATTCTCTTTCCCCCTCTTTTCTCTCAGCTGTTGACACAGCAACAAGGTTTTCGCCAGATGTGGTCCCTTGATCTTGGATTTCTCAGACCCCAGAACTATGAGCTGATATATTCTTGGTCATTATAAATGAACCAGTTGTAGTAGCACAAAAACAGACTAGGACAGCCAGGAATAATCAAAAGCTACATAAGAGATACATCAAAGGGACCCAGAGGCCAGGTGGGAAAGGTTCCCAGGGGCAAACTGGGGCAATCTGACCCTCAAAGTAAATGAGACACATTTTAGCATAGCCCGAGAAGAATGCTGCCTGACAAATAAAGGGCATGAACTACTGTTACAGGCAACAAGATAGAAGAACTGCAAAAGGACTGTCCTGGGGAGAAAAGGATAGGTATGACGATGCAGCACATAGGAAATTGTAGAAGCAAAACAAAGTGACAAAGCGCAAGTCAGCAGCCAACAGGTACAAAGGATGGGGAGAGTGATGACTGCAAAGGGGCATGAGAACATTTTTCTGAAGTGACAAAAATTACATGAATAATTACATTATTATAGTTGTGGTAGAGGTTTATGCACTGTAATTTCACTGTACATATCTGTCAATAAATTTGTGCACTTAGGGCCAGGGATTTAGCTCAGTGGCACAGCGCCTGCCTCACAAGCGCAAGGTCATGAGTTCGATCCCTGGTATCAAAAAAAAAAAAATGTGTTCACTTATAATTGGTGGCCTAAATAACACCGGGGATTTAGCTCAGTGCCACTGTGCCTGCCTCGCAAGCGCAGGTCCTGAGTTTGATCCCCAGTACCAAAAAAAAAAAAAGAAACAACCTATTGAATATAAGTTGTTATGAATTTTTATCTTGTGGTGCTGGAATTGAATCCAGGGCCTTGTGTGGGCTAGGCAAGATCTATGCTCTATGCCAAGAATTTTAAATGGAAAAAAAGAATACTCTTCTCACAGGAAAAGGCCAACTGATGTATGTAGAAGGAATTGCGGAATTGGAAGGTCATCATAGTAAGAAGCCAGGCAAGAAGCATCCGTGGATCCTGGAAGCAGCAGTATAGGTTTGATGAAGAGAGGAAGTCTGCATGGCACCAAAGTTCTCCCCACGGAAACACCTTTTCACTGAAGGAGAAAACTCTGCAGTGGGGAAAGCTGGCCAGTCCACCCTAAGTGATGAAGGCTAATCATTATGAACGGAAGATTAAATCCAGGCACCAATCGACTGGGTACAAGGAGGAATGAGGAGTCACTTCTGCAATGAAGAACAAGGAGCCGCTGTTCCTGCCAAAGACACAGCCTGATTCTAGCCGTGGCAACATGAGAGGCCAACGTGGAGACACTCTTCAAGGAAGTGGCTTGTAATCTCCAGAGGTCATGGCTACGAAAGCCAAGGGACAACAATAGGCCCTCTAGAATGAAGGAAACAGGGAGACAGGATAACAAGGTGCAGCACAGCACAGCCAGGGATTTTGGTCCTTGCATTAGGGAGGGCACTCCAGCTGTCAGCACAATACTGAGGTCCTGCATCAGACGTAAGAACTGTATCACTGTCCATTTCCTAACGTTGAAGGTTGTGAGTGGGCAGACACTGCCTGTGGGAGGTATACACTGAAGCCTATCTGCAGTATACTCTCAGGAGTAGAAGGGAAAAGTTTTCTGTTCTATCCTTGCATTTTTTTAAGTCTGAAATTCTTTTAACATTAAAATGGAGTAAAAGAATTAAAAAGCAACACAATATGTATAAAATAGCTAAACTCTAGCAATGCAATTTACCTTTTCAAATAATTCATCTAATTTTATTATTTAAAGATAAAGTGTACCTGACTTGAACAACAGAAAAGAATTCAATCAAAAGCAAGAGGGTGAAAAAATAAAATAAAAAATAAAATTAAAAAAAAAGCAAAACGGAGAGCAGAAATCAGAAAAATAATACGTATTCTAATAATCTGCCTGTTCAAAATGACAACAGATCTAAGACTTCCAGAATCCTGGCAGAATGTGGTTTTGAGTTTCATAAATCACTAAGGAAACAGACGTACCACCCCAGAATGATTTTCTAAGTGACATTAGTAAAAACTATAGCTATTTCTAGAATGTGTTAGAAGACTGTACAGTCTCAGGAACCAAACACCCTTGCTCAACCATGATGCCACATTGAATACTGTCTTTCCAGATCAAGATTCAAATTCATCTAAGAGTTTAATGACATGTTATGAGGTTAACTCAAAATTACTGGTTTTAACCAGTAATTTAATCAACTAATTGTTTAACTCAATATGCTAAAATGTTAATTTTTAAATATTTACATGACTATTAACCAGGCATGGGGGTGCACACTTGTAAGCCCAGCACTTGGGAAGCTGAGGCACGAGGATCACTGCAACTTGGAGGCCAGCCTGGGCTATTTAGCGAGTTAAGGACAGCCTGAACTGTCTAGTGACAGCTTGTCTCAAAAAAAAAAAAAAAAAAAAGGCTATTAAATTCTGATTTTAGGGCTGGGGTGGGTAGCTCTGTAGTAGGGCACTACGTGAGGCCCTACATACTCTGCCCAGCACCACACACACCCATACAAACTGCATGCTGCTCCATCACCACAGCTGAGAATGTAAGCAGTGGTTTCATCAGCGCCACATGGCCAATTGTCTTTAAAGGTCTGGGCCTCCTGAACGTTCGAAAAGTACTTCTGTGTCTACATTATACATATTGATAAATACGTTATCAGTAAACTTCTTAAAATCTTCCGTAATAAAAACAGAAATTCTAAGCTATCTATCCACCATAACACAGGCCACGTTGAAAAAGCAATTAATTCCAAACCAGACTCCAGAAGCATCCGGAAGATGACAGGTCTGACATTTACTACACTCACGGCGTGCGGAGTAAGGCTGCCTCACCAGTCTGCAGCGCTCTGAAGGTTTCTGCAGTTACCCAACGGCTTTAATTAAAATTACTGCCACCTCACCTAAAATCCTAAATGCTACCATATGACTGTCTACTTGTTCCCTTTGAAGTCAGCAAAAACGTAAGGAAAGGTCGGGCCAAGGGAACTCAGGATCTTTTCTGGGAGGTGGGGACGGGAAGGGAGGTGAGATGAGAATTGGGAGAAAAAGCGCTGCACGAGGAGGAAAATAGTGGGACTTTACTTTTCACAGCGTTTATTTCTGCTCGGGGAGCGGGCAGCTGCCGGAGGAGGAGCTCTGCGCCCGCGTCGCGCCGCCCCACGCGGGGACAGCTCGGGAGCGGCGACCTCACCCACCCACCCACCCACCCACCCGCCCGGCCGGCCCGGCCGCCCCGACCCGCTCCCGGCTGATGCAAGCCCGCGGCGCGCTCGGCCTCACCCAGGGGAGGGGCCCCCGCGTTCACGGTGAGACACAGCGTCGCCATCTGCTCGGTCGGCCGGCCCGCGTCGCCCAAGTCGCCGCACGCCAGAGAAGCAACGTGTGCCTTCCCCCAGCCGCCGCCGCAGCCTTCGTCCCACCCCGCGCCGTGACCGCCGTCGTCACGCGCGCGACACACGTCATCACGGCGCACCTCCACGCCTCTCGCTTTTAGCGTCCAATACTGACGTGGCGCCACGCCGCTGTCGGAAATTCGCTGACGTTCGGGGCTTTACGACGTTCCGTAAAGCGAAGACAGGATGGCGGTGGGGAATTTTATTACGCGGTGGTGTGGATGCAGACGCCGGAAAAGCCATGCGAGCTCGTACGCCCTACCGACAGTCATGTGACACTGTGTGTTGGGGGGTTGGGAGGGAAGTGAGAGAGAAAGGTAGGAGGGCGACCAGGAAAACGGCGATTTTCAAGTTGCACTGGGAAAAAACCCCGCAGCTTACATTTTTCTCCCTTCTGGGCTACTTACTTCTAAATTCCTGTGTCTTAAAAAATCCTAAAGCTGGGCTAAGGATGTAGCTCCGCGGCACAGCCCCTACCTGGCAAGTGGAAGGTCCTGAGTTCAATTCCCGGTACCGGAGAAAAAAGATCTGAAAGCCTCTGTCAGCCCCAGAAAGACAGATCTTGAACCTGTTTATGTGTCCTTCCCAGCGTGACCGCACTAATGAAATCTTTCCTGCCCTTCGCCATTGCTGTGTCCTTGGTTGGCGTTGGCCATGAGTGCCTGAATTTTGTGTGTTGGGACCGCTGGAGCCGGGACTTTTGCTCTAAAACTCCAGTGACAATACCAGCGATCAGTTAACCAGGTAAGGAATTTAGCTAACATTTTAGTGATGTATATCATCTCCATTCCTAGTCTACCTCCAGCCGGGGTCAATTCCTGGATCATTCTTACAGTAGCTAAACAATGTGAACAGAGGGCCGGGGATTTAGCTCTGTGATTTCGCCGCCTGCTGCACAAGCGCAAGGACCCGATTTCGATCCCTGGTACCAAAATAAAAAAATGTGAACAGAAAGGCAGGAGTGCTAGTGAGGTACATCTTACAAATGGAAAGGACCGAGAGATGGGAGGAGAGAGAGGAGAGGAAGCGGACGCAAAAAGAATTAAGATGTGTTGTGTACACGCACCAACTCCCCATGATGAATGTCATCATTATGTACTGCAAACACGTGCTAATAAAAATAAATTTTTTTTAAATACAATATTTGTCCCTTCTGCCTGTGAATACCAAGTACTACAGATACCTTGTTATGATGGGTCCTGTTCATGATGGGGTATCAGGAAAAGGCCACAACCTGCATTTACATGGAAGGTAACATGATGCAAAATTTACCTTATGAAATGGAGTTTGAAATTATGAGAAAAGAAAATAAATTTGCAGCATCTTTTAGAAATTCAGGTATTCTTGAGCTACGTGTTAATTCTTGGAACAAAAAGTGAGTGTTAAGTGTTTACAATTTTTGCTGAGCAGCTATGACAAGCTGGAGCTCTGGGCTGTGGCCTGAGAAGCATCCCTGGCGAGCCACCAGGCCTGAAGACTGCCTCAGCGGAAGAGTTTCCACGTTTTTCCCTTTTAGTGATTCACTAACTGAGATTGATTTATTCATTCCATTTTTGGGCAAATGTAGGAATGCTGGCTTCCAGCTGCTAGTTTTAAAGGATATCAGAAAACAAGGTAGATGAGAAACTTACAAAATTGAAGACAAGTCTCCTGGGATAGCAGCAAACTTAAATTGTATTTGTTTTTTGGTACTGGCGATCAAACTTGGGACCTTATGTTTGTGAGCCAGGCAGCAAAATTGTATTTGTTTATATATCTCATCTTGTTCTGAGAAAGATTTAATCTATGTTGAAATGTGATAGAACAAGCCAGATGTAGGGGTGCGAGCCTGTAATTCCAGCACTCTGTGAAGCTAAGGCAGGAGGGTCCTAAGTTTGAGCTCCGCCTGGGCAATTTAACTAGACCTTGTCTCAAAAAAAAAAAAAAAAAAATTAGGGCTCAAAAAAAAAAAAATGTAAGTCAGTGTGAAGGTTCAGGCCTCAGCACTAGGAAGGTTGGGGAGTGTGATAGAACAAAAAACTCATTTTAATTCAAGAAAGAAAAAAATCAATATAGAAGGAAGGTGAATTGGAGAAGCTAGAACAGTAAATAGGTGGCAGGCAGCCTGTTCACTTTGTCACATGAAACTGGCCCCAGAACCAAGAGGAAAACTACTTGGAAGAGTAGAATTGGCCTGCTCCAGAGACCAGAGTTAAATTTCTCCCAAGGTGTGGCATAGAGGGGGCATCATGGAAGGTTTCAACAACCTATTACAGTAACTGTAGTACACTGCTCGTTTAACAAGATCTTAAAGTATATCCTGTGTGCTCAGCAGTGCTCTTAGTGCTAGAAATATGTAGTGAATGAAAACAAGACCCTGATACGATGAAGTTTCCATTAGGGTGTGGTGATACAGAAACTAAACAATTTCATAAAGTGGTAAATTCTATGAAAATAATAGGTGATCAGATTAAAAGAGATGGAATCAGAGAAGGGGAGCTTTAAGGGTTGAAGACTTCTTTATAGGGGCCTCCCTCACATGAGGCAGGTCCTCTACCCCTGAGCTACACCCCCTGCCCAAAGAAGGCCTCTCCTAAAGGCATCTGGTTTGGGAGCATCCCTGTGAGAAGGACCCAGTCGTGGGAGATCTGAGGTTGCATCCCTGGAGGGAAAGAAAATGTGTTTATTTTTCAGAAAAGCACAGATCCTGGTTTTGTGACTCTTTCATAAGCCTTTCTGTAATACAACCCAGCACACTACCATCACTGCATTATGAGTGTGTCATTGCCAAGAACTGCATTTTATGTGTCTCCTGGTCTCCAACACCATGCTCTGTTCTTGGCTTACAGCAGCCTCAATAAATATTAGAATGCATGAATGAAAAGCGATCTACACGTACTTAGTAACTCACAGAATTTCACTTAAAGATGCTGGACACAGTGGTGTATGCATTCTGGGATGCTGAGGCATGAGGATTCCAAGTTTCAGCCAGTGTGGGAAATCTGGAGACTCAGCAAAGCCCTGACTCAAAATAAAAAATTTTACATGGCTGAGGATATAACTCGGTGTGAAGCCCCTGGGTTCAGTTCCTAGTACCAGAGGGAAAAAGATGTAAGTTCAGTGTACGTATACTGCACACACAGATCTGTAAGAAGTGAAGGAGGAGCAATTTTGCCTCATTTCTTGTCCTATAAGATTCTTTGTTTTTCAGGCCTAGGGATGGAACACCAGGGCCACACACATGCCAAGGACTCCACCAACAAGCTACATCTCCAGCCCTCAATAAGATCCATCATGCCTTAGATAGAAGTTGGTTCTCTCAGGATTCAGAGTACTTCCCTAGTGCACGGGCCTAGATCTGATCCCAGCACTGCAAGGGAAAAAAAAGGAAAGTTTCCTTGTCGTGATTGGTTTATTATTATTATTGGTCATCAGATTTCAGTAGGTTGTTTTCAATGGGAAAATAGAAATTCAAATTGTTTCATTTATCTGTTGCTCTTAACAAACCAAATTCAGTAGCTTCAAGCAGCAACCATGCTGTCGCCCGTTGTGTTTGTGGCGGGAATTTGGGTGAGCCTTGGCTGAGTGACACGGGCGGCTCATGACATCAGGCAGGGTCACTTGTGTCTCACGAAGGCCCAGGTGGCTGTGCGGCTCGGGCCTGGGGTGGAAATGGTGGCAGCCAGGGCTCCGCAGGGCCCGTCGCTCCCTGTGGCGCTCTCAGTGGTAGACTCTGCATGTGCTGCTGGCTTCCCTGAGGGCGGGACTCCAGCCTCCTCCTCACCTAGCATTGGAAGCCACTGGTGCCACTCACTAGCTCCGTGGGTTACAGGGAGTCACAGGCCCTCCACTTACCAGAGAAGCGACTATGCCACTCAATGGAACACACAGGGATTCCTTGTTTCGGACTGAACTTCTACACTGGATGGCAGGTGACAGGCACCACCTCCTACCTAATCAGGCACGGAGATGAATGCCTCAGGTGTCATGGCAACTCTGCTGCAGAAATCGGTGAACCAACTACTTGGTTAAAATGGGGACTCCTCCCCAGCCCCATCCTCCCCCTCTAGTTCTTTCCAGTACTGCTTCCGGGAGGAGGTCTCCTCCGCCAAGCCCTTCCACCACGCTGTTTCTACTGCAGCCTCTGAAACCGCACCAAGAAAACCTTTCTCCTTTCAGTTGTGTGTGTCAGGTATTTGGTCATGGCAACAAAAAGCCGACTGACACCAAATTTCCTTTACAGCATTTGCCACAAATGGAAAAACATGCTTCATTTATTCTCTTGCTTCCTAAGAACATGAGCTCGAAAGAACAGACTTACGGTCAGCGTTATAGCCACCGAGTATGTGTTCAGTTCCTAACAGCAGGTGCTCAGTAAATATGGTATTTGTCAAATGACTGAGTGCAGATCACAGTGAGATGAAACATGGTGTGGGGTCCTTTGAGTGGCTGAGCAGGGCCACCGAGTAGTGATCTGAGCTGATGCAGAAGGGAGAAGCCAGGCCGGGGATTTAGCTCAGTGGTTCCGCCTCCTGCCTCCCAAGCACAAGGCCCCGAGTTCTATTCCCGGTACAAAAAAAAAAAGAAAGAAGCCAGAACTTTGTTTCATGTATCACTGTAAAGAGCCTGCATTTTATCTTGAAGGCAAAGGCAAGGAATAAAGGATTGGCTTTTTAAAAATCCCCTGTGGAGATGATGTGATAGCAGGCAGGGGTCGGTCAGGACCCTGCAGGGACCCGGGAAGAAAGGACAATGGGAACAGAGAGAAGACGCAGACGCCCAAACATCTCACCGGAAACATCTCACCGGAGTAAGCTGGGTTTTCATATATGAGGCTGGAGGAAATACCTTTAAAGTCATTCTTGTACTGAGATTTTTTAATTTTGGGTTTTTTTTGAGACAAGGTCTCACTGTGTAGTTCAGGCAATCTTCCTGCCTCAGCCTCCCAAGTGTACCGCCAGGCCTAGTTTGTGCTTAGATTTTTTTTTTTGGTACTGGGGATTGAACTTGGGTCCTTGCGCTTGCGCAGCAGGTGGCGAAACCACTGAGCCAAATCCCCGGCCCATGTACTTAGATTTTTTATAATTAGGTTTGGCCCACTGCAGAGAAGTCCACTCCTAGAAGGAACAAATGGATTAAAGTAGTGATTTTCAAATTTTTCCAATTATCAGGATCATCTTGTGGGTTTGTATAATAATTTAAGAGTGTGTGGGTAAGAATGAAGGGCTGTTTAGAAATAATTCAACCTGGGTGTGGTTTACACACCTATAATCTGTTACTTGGGAGGCTGAGGCAGAAAAATCACAAGTTCAAGGTCAGCCTGAGCAACTTAGTGAGACACTGCCTCAGCACAAAGACTAAAGGATCTGGGGATGCAGCTCAGCACTCCCTGAATGGCAAAACCCTAAAGAAATACGCAACTGAGAGATGTCCAAGTGGGCTTGTGGAGATGCAGATCTGCACTTGGGAAGTTCGGAGACAGATACAGAGGCCCTAGGTGAAACCATACAAGTGCATTAGAGCTCCTGCCGCTGCCGCTGCCGCTGCCGCTGCCGCTGCCGCTGCCCCTGCCCCTGCCCCTATCCCAGCCCCTGCCCCTCCTGCTCCTCCGGTTCCTTCTCCTCCTGGTGCTGCCCCTTCTTCCTTTTTTGAAGATAGGCTCTTGCTTTGTAGCCCAGGCTGGCCTCTCAGCAATCCTCCTGCCTTAGCCTCCCGAGTGCTGGGATTATAAGTCTACACCACCACGCCTGGATGCATTAGATCTTCAGGTGAGAAAGTAGAGAGCCAAGAGGAGAATCCTGGAAAGCAGTGATGTTTAAGGGAAAAGAGACACAGCAAAGCAGGAGAAAGATGTGGTAGAGAGAGGGAATGGAGAAAAAGTCAGGATGAGCAGGTATGAGAGGAAGTGTTCTTTGGGGTCAAAGCCATAGAGCTCTCTCCCTGCTGGACTCTGTTGCCCTTGAAATAATACTGTGTCACCCCATCTTGTGAGTCCTATGTGTAAATGATCTCAATGATCATCAAAGTCCCCAGAGGACTTCTTAAAATATACAGAATAAAAATTGCTCTGTTGGACCCTGTGAATCTGCGTATTTATTTATTGCAGTACTAGAAATTGAACCCAGGGCCTTCACACTGACCTACACTCCCAGTCCCTGCTCCCATCTAAAAAATATTTTATTTTGAGACAAAGTCTTGCTAGGTCAGCCAGGCTGGGTTGGACCTGGCAGTTCTCCTGCCTCAGCCTCCCACCAGAGGCTGGGATTGAAGGTATCACTGCACCTGGCACGAATCTGCATTAAAAAAAAAATCTTCCCAACTACCACAAAGAATCAACAACTGGGATCTCATCTTATTAAAAAGCTTCTGCACTGCAAGAGAAACCACCAACAGAGCTAAGAGACAACGGACAATGTGGGAAAAAATTTTTAGCAGCTGTACCTCAAAGGACTACTATGGGGCCAGGGATTTAGCTCAGTGGTTCTGCCACCTGCCCCGAAAGTGCAAGGTCCCAAGTTCGATTCCTGGTACCAAACAAAACAAAAGAAAACAAAACAAAGGACTACTATCTAGAATATATAAAGAACTGAAAAAAATCAGACCCCCCAAATTTAAAGACCCAATTTAAAAATGGGCATCTGAAATGAACAGACATTCCTCAGGCAAAGAAGTAAAAGCAGCAAATAAACATATGAAAAAATGTTCAACATCACGAGAGATGCAGATGAAAACAAC